CTCTGCTCTGCTCTGCTCGTTGTCGGTAGTCTGTTGTCTGTTGTCAGGGTGGTGCTGGTAGTCGTTGGACTTCAGTCGGGACGGACGCGGAGCGGAGCTAATCGCAGATAGAGGGAAAACTCTAAACGGGAATTTAATTTTCACACATCGTTGGTGGCGGGTGAGAGGGGAGGAAAAATCAATATGGAAACACAAACAGACTGGTCGGCAGTCGGCAGCCGGCAAACAACAAAAGCATAAATCACGCGCATAATTTTGTTACCATTTCTTTTTTTCCGTTTGCAATTTCTATTAAAGGCTTTTCCTTTCTCTGCGAATATTTGTGGGCGATCCGACAAATGGGGCGGAGCATTCGTTGTATTTACATTTACTGACCTCAGGGCTGCTCTGAATCTGGAATGGCTTTTCTTTCTTTTCCCACCGTTTCCCGTTTTCCGTTTCGTTTTTCCTTGTTAGTTCTGTGGTGTTGTATCTGGGTAATTTCTGGCACGTGTGAACTGATTTCTATTATGCGCTGGCATGAAAGCCAGCTCCAAGCAACTGCCACAAAAAAAGGGCGAGAGTTCCTGGCAATGCCCCAGGTCTTCAAGTTTGCGGCAAACTTAGGATATCTCGCAATACTCACCTGAGTGGAGCCAAACAAAAAATGTTTCTAGCCTTGGGAGCTTGTTGTGTAATAGATTTAGTATCACATTTTCAATGCTGAGCCAATCTGAGCCCATACCATTCATCGTTTCCGTCTATACTCGTACCCGCACTCGTGTTCAACTCCATACCATACCCATTTCATTCGAAGCCTTCAGCAATTAATTTGTTTCCTATATTTAACCTTTATTGCCCGCAGGTGAGACACGTTATTCAATGCCCAATGTCATTTATCAAGTCTTGTAATTTCAATGGTTCTTTGGCTCTCCATATAATTATTGAATAATTAACTGTTGCCGTCAAATAATTATACTGTACTCAGCTAAAGGAAATTCTACTTTGTTTGCTTGCAGGTCTCCAGTTTCAAGGGTAATACAAGACGATAATTGGAATCGGAAAAGCAAAATGCAGTGGACAGCGAGGTGTATAATCATCACTCAAATTATGCCTACAGCTCGTACATATTTATAGCATTGCAAATTTAAATGATAAATGCTTACACGAAATGTAACATACAAATAAAGGAATTAAATAAAATTTAAACGTTTATGTTTTTATTCGGGGGTCATAGGTGGACGAAGGATGTCCAGATCGGCCTTGTTGGCAAACTGAAGGGGAAGAAAATATCCTTGAGCCTTGGTCCTTAATAGGGATGCAGTCGGAGCCAGGAAAGTCTTCCGATCGCAGGATGCCCTCGCACACCCCGATCGGACACGAAATGCCGGAGAAAATTAAATTTTTCTGATCCTTGCTATCCTTGGTCCTTGAAAAGGACTTCATAAAATCAGGCACATTTTTCTGAACACAGGAAGCCGTCGCACGTCCTGATCGGCAGATAAATGGCGGAGAAAATTAATAGTTTTAGTCCTTGATGTCCTTGGTCCTTTAAAAGGACTTCATAAAATCAGGGACATTGTGCCGATCACAGGAAGCCGTCGCATGCCCAAATCGGCCCAGAAAGAGCGGAGAAAATGAATATTTGTGATCTTGGATGTCCTTGGTCCTTGAAAAGGACTTCATAGAATCAGCGACATTTTTCTGAACACAGGAAGCCGTCGCACGTCCTGATCGGCCCATAAAGAGCGGAGAAAATGAATATTTGTGATCTTGGATGTCCTTGGTCCTTGAAAAGGACTTCGAAAAATCAGGGACATTTTTCCGATCACAGGAAGCCGTCGCACGCCCAAATCGGACCACAAAGAGCGGAGAAAATGAATATTTTTGATGCTGAATATCCTTGGTCCTTGAAAAGGACTTCGAAAAATCAGGGACATTTTTCCGATCACAGGAAGCCGTCGCACGCCCAAATCGGCCCACAAATACCGGAGAAAACGGCCAAAATCTGAATGGGATACCAGGCGAACAGAAATCAGCAGCAAGCAACTGTAGCAAATTTAAAAAAATGGTGCATACTTTTGGGGGCTCCCAAATTTTTAAAAAATTTAGCGACCTTCTTCTGATTTCTGTTTGCCTGGTATCCCATCCAGATTTTAGCCATTTGACGCGAGGTTTTTTCTTTTGTACGGTGGCGCCCCTGTCGGTGATCTCTTGAACTACATTTTTAAAGACAGTTACAGTCCAGATTTGTTTTCTCCGTTATTTGTGGTCCGATTTGGGCGTGCGACGGCTTCCTGTGATCGGAAAAATGTCCCTGATTTTATGAAGTCCTTTTCAAGGACCAAGGACATCAAGGACTAAAACTATTAATTTTCTCCGCCATTTATCTGCCGATCAGGACGTGCGACGGCTTCCTGTGTTCAGAAAAATGTGCCTGATTTTATGAAGTCCTTTTCAAGGACCAAGGATAGCAAGGATCAGAAAAATTTAATTTTCTCCGGCATTTCGTGTCCGATCGGGGTGTGCGAGGGCATCCTGCGATCGGAAGACTTTCCTGGATCCGACTGCATCCCTATTAAGGACCAAGGCTCAAGGATATTTTCTTCCGTTCCATATTTCTTGTTTTCTCCGTTATTTCTGGCCGGATTATGGCGTGCGATAGCTACTCATGATCCAAAAAATATCTTTTATCCTTGGAAAAGGACTCCGAATTGCATTTCTAAATTTCTCGGCTATTTGTGGCCCAATCTAAGCGTGCGATGGCTTCCTGTGATGGCAAAAATGTCCCTGATTACATAAAATCCTTTTCAAGGATCAAGGATGTCAAGGATCTGAAAAATTTTTGTTATCTCCGTCATTTTTATTCTGATCAAAGCGTTCGACGGCTTCCTGTGATCTCAAGAAAATCCTTGATTTGATGCAGGGACTCCAGGATTCTATGAAAATTCCCCGAAGCATTTCATATCTGATCTGGGCATGTCACGCCTTCTCGTAAACGCGAGAATATCCCCTTTAGTTTGGCCGATCTGGACATCCGTCGTCCACCTTTGACCCCCGAATAAAAACATAAACGTTACAATTTTATTCAATTTCTTTATTTGTATACTACATTTTGCGGGCGATTTGAAATATTTATTTGCAGTGCTATAAATTTGGTAAAGAATAATTTGAATGATGATTGCCTTTTTGCCATGATAAATTGCTGTAACCCGGCTTTTGACCGGACGATCTGGAAAGCATCCTTGATTTGGTGAAGTCGTTGGCTAAGATCAGGGCTTTTTTGCCCACTCATACTTACTTACTTTCCTTACATTGCAATATTCCATGTATTTTTTAGTTTATTTTCGCCTTTGCCGTTGTCAATTCTGCTTAAGTGCAACGTTTCATGTGGTTTACCATTCGAGTGGGCGAATGGCTGAGTGGGAGCACTGCGGCATGGCAGCCACCCACGAATAAATTTGATTTGCTAATGAGGCAAGTCCGCACGAAGAGGGAATGAGTTTGGATAGGGAGACTGGGATATAGGGAGACAGGGGCATATGAAATTTTAAGTAGTTTTTTCGCCTGGCACTTGCGGTTTGTCTTGCGGGTGTTGGGATTTGTGGTTGGCATGCGAACCACAGAGATGGGTGGCATATTTGAGTTTGAGTGGCGAATTAAATTGACCATGTGTGTGGGCTGAAAAGGAATCCCTGCGGACATATGTCCAAAAAAGATTAAACAGAAAGGCGAAAATTCAAATTAAATCCTAAAAAGTTGTTTCCGACTTGAAAACAAATAAGTTTTGACCACGGAGGGTCGGCCGGCAGCAATAATTAATTAACTTTCGTCTCGGTTCGGTTCTTGTAATTTATCTATATTTATTTTCGTCTTTTCCTTACAATCCGTACTCACCATTTTGTTTTTGTCACACTTTTCTCCGACTTATCTAGACGTACATATTTATGGATATTTATGCTTATGTTTCAGTTTAAACTCTTCCGTTTTCTATGCTCTATGGTGGCTTACATATATCGTTCTTCGCTCTAACAATTTAACTTTAGTATTTACCATTTCTAAGCAGGACCTTTGGCCGAACGAATCGACTCCTCAAACATATGCTCGCATGTTCTCGTATTTACCTACATTTACATTTATCAATATCCTATGTACAACAGAGAAATGCTTCCTTGGAGCTGGTTAATATTTGATCTATACAACTATGCCAGGAGTATGTTATATACACAATCTTTACTGGTAGTACCACACATTCATAAATACATATAAGTAATTACTTTCTCATTTCTCATTTTTGGGAACATTTTTGCTACAAAATATTTAGCTACTACATTGTCTGAGTCTTTTTGAAGTTTCCTTAAAATAGAGTGTGGTTTTTTCATATATGTATATATATTTAATCCATTTACTATCGAACTGGAAATGTAGTCAAAGCATTGGAAAGAACATTGATTCGAAGTTGATCGAATCGAATCAACAGAGAAGAGCTAGTCTCAAAGGAGAGACGGCTAAAGCGAATTGAGTTCTACGAGACTCTGCGAAGGAATCATCAAGATTAATTACTATTTCTGATACGTATATCCTGCGATATGTGGCATTAGATCCGCCCTACTTCACCTGATAGCCTCCCATTTGTACAAATCATTCGAATATTTGTTTTTTCTGTACGCTATATCTCAGCTATACGGCCGCCGATCGGAGCGTGGCATGTCTCTTCGTGATCAGGAGAGTCCTGCCAACCGACTTTCATCGGAAAAACAGACATCTATTTTCTCACGATTTTCGGCAAAAATCATGATGTAACCATCATCCAATTTGTCAAAAATCGGCCTCAATTTCGTAGTCGAGATTTTGGTGCCGAACGACAGTCTGGGTCCCCACGATCCTGGGAAAGTGGGTCCTGCATCGATCTGGCCCCATATACCTGAGATATAGCCTTCCGAAGATTTGGATGTGCAAAAAAATCGAAAAAAAGGACATCCATATTCTCACGGTTTTCGCGAAAAATCATGATGGTACATATGTATGTAGGATGTAACAATGGATATGCAATCAATCGCCATGAAGATATGCAGATTTTCGCTTAGTTTTTGCTCAGTTTTACAGAGTCAGTGTTTAGTCCTATGTATGTCTTAAGAGTAGATTAGATATGCACAGCACCTTAACGAGAATAAAACTATGACATAGATACATACATATTCCTAGATGCTAAATACACACACCCACACACATATATACCTATGTAGATCTGGATTATCTGGGGATACTCACGGTTCCTCAAGCAGCCTCTGGCTCTTACACACAACTCTCGGGCACGCGCTGCGTCATGAGGCAGTCCTTAATCGCATTTATATTAATGTTATCATCCAAGTCCTGCGACGAGTTGCACGAGGTGGTTGTAGTCGTGGTCGAGGCTGTGTTGTTGGCCAGGCCCACAACGCCCATGACGCTGCCGGCGCTGCCCAGCAGCAGGCTGGAGCCCGAATGGTGCGGGTGCTGCTGCTGCTGCTGGTGATGATGATGATGGTGTTGCTGTTGCTGCTGCTGCTGATGGTGATGCCGATTCAGAGTGGCCGTGTGAGTGGCTCCACCGACACCCACCTGCTGCAGTGGGTGGTGCATCCGGCCACTGGCATACGCGTTCAGTATGTAGCCACCGCCGCTACCCAAGCCAGGTGGCAGGGTGCCCACGCCACTGCTGTGCACCGGCTGCAGGTGGGCCGCCAGCGTGGCTGTCGAGGAGAGGGACGTCGGGGAGCCGATGATGGTGCCGCCCAGTCCCAGCGGCGGCTTGCCCCCCAGGCTGCCCATCATGCTGCTGCTGGGCGAGATGACGGTGCTGCTGCACCCTCCGCCCGCCGCTGCCACGGCCGCCAGCAGCTGGGCCCGCTGCGCGTTGATTTGATTGTAGGTGACCGTCGCATTCGTCGCCGGATCGCCGGACAGCATCGTCGTCGTCGTCGTCAGGGGCACCACCTGCAAGACAGCAACGGACACGATATCGATACCGATATGGCGTGGCATTAGTGCACCGAAAGTCATTCAGCTGGAAATTGTTCTGCTCTGCCCTGCTCTGCTCTGCTCTGGAATGCCATCCATGCCCAGAGCTTTCTACATGAAAAAATCGAGTCAAATCTGTGTATACCCATGAAAAATGTTTGATTTTACTTGGACTAAATTCTGAGATGAATATAGGACTGGTTGGTGGGCTGGGTGGCCGGGGGAGATAGAAGCTATGCATATCCTTGATTAATAATGCGTTTGCTCTCGAGGGTATCGTTTGTTGTAGCCGGGTAATGGAAATCATCGCGAAAGCAATCGGATTCTGCCCTAGATTCCGATATGGGAATACTCGAGAACTCCAAGTGCGGAAAACTTCTTTAATTTCCCACTCAACCACACACAATTGTGGCTTAAATCTATTTTAAAGAGTTTAGTTAGGCGAAGATAATTTAGAAAATTCCTTCTCGCATGGCATACAAAAAATTGTATTTTGCAGATATTTGCCATTCGATAAAACGACTATTTCTATTGGACCCATGCCCCATGCCCCATGCCACCCCGTGCTGTACCGTGCTGTGCCACAACCAGCGCCAATCCAATTACCTGGAATGATTATACCAAAATATTTCGGCTTGAACGCCAAAAATGCTGTGAACCAACACGAAATTCGAATGAAATTCTAATTGAAATCTCTCAATGCAATTTTCACGTGGTGCGGCCAATTGGGGAGAGGGGAAGGGGGGTTGGGTGCATTTCGAGAGAGGGGAGCGGTGTGAAATTGCCGTTTCGACTGTTATGTTTGGCAATATTTAAAATTATTTAATTAACGAATTGAGTTATGCTGCGATTGCCCAGTACAGAACATCCCCCCACCCCCACCCCCGAAAATCCCATTCAGATTGAGCCTGGACACTGGAATGGTAATTTAAATGTAATTGAAATCTGTGCAGCAAATCCCATTTACAGAATGATAAAAAAATTCTCTTTCAGCCCAACTCCGGAACCCGTTTCGGTTTCACAGATACTCCGTGTTATCTGGTGGGGGCTTCTGTGTGTGTGTGTGTGCAATGCGGCGTGGATCCTCTCTCTCTCTCTGGATGGGTGGGTCCATCGGTTGTGTCACGGGGGAGTAGAAACCGCAGCGTTGGCTGATTTCCCAGCTACGAGCCCGAGTATGGGTACTTCTGTTTCTGTTTTTGGTTTTTTCTGCATTGCAAATTGGTTCGGTTTCGGGGTTTGGGTTTCGGCTTGGGTACCGGGGGGGTGGGGGCGTTCTGGTTCATGTTTTTTTGGCAGATTAGTGATATATATAGATACATATATTCGCGGACTGGCAGTCAATTGGTCATGGTCGGTGCATATGGCCGGGCTCTAATCTGCACGGCACAGCTTATGGTAATGGCCCGCGGGCATCTCGAACGTTGTCAGCGAATAAAAATTCGAATTATACACACAGACGCCCGAAAGTGTGGGCGGAAAGTCCATGAATAAATTCTAATTGCGAATTTAATGAAATGAAAACAAATGTGCTCGCCGGCCTGCCTGGCGCTCTAATCTCAAATGGATGGCAGCCGCCAACCAGAAATTCAAAATAAATACAGCGCAAGATATTGGAAAAATACTCGCCGAAGGTTAAGCGCCCACATGGAATAATAATCGAATATGGATTATGGCTAGATGGCGCAGTGCTGAATGCTTTTAAAATTAATATAATTAAGTGCAAGCAATCCACTTTTAAAGTTTATTTGGATCCCATTCCCCTGTTCAAAGTGTGGGCACAGATTTCCCCTCCATCCTTTATGTTTCCTTTTGTTGCATTGCTCTGTACAGCTGTACAGGTGTACACCTGTTGCCACACCTCCTTCAACGTCAGTTTCCATCCTTTCGATCGAAATATAATAAAAATAGAAGCTCCTTCCACCCAAGTTTTGAGCTCAATATAAATGCGGAACGGAACAGAACCGAACAGAACAGAAATTGATTGATTATGGCCCCCAGCTCAACATGATATATTGTGTTTTAAAAATCTCACAATTACCTCAGAGCAGAGCAGAGCCCACCTCTAGCACTTGCAACCAAGTGGCAGGACTCTGCAGACTGGCAGACTGGCAGACTGGTAGACTGGCAGTCTGGTTTCGGTTTCGGTGTGGTTCTGGTGGCACGTTATCCCATGATTTAGCCAATGGATTTTTATTTATAACCCCTCCCCCCCCTCAGAATGAGAGAACCAGAATGGGAACGAGTACACTGACAGTTTAAAAGCTTTTTTTAATAAACTCGAGCAGTGGGTGTGCTGTTCGGGGCAGCTTTTTGCACCGGGGCAGGACTTTGAAGTCTGAGACTGGCAACGAGTCGAGTCTGAGGCACCAGCTGCTGGCTGCCGGTTACTGGTTGCAGGTTGCCTTGGATTCTGTTTAGCAATTTGACAATTTGAGTAGTTGATTGCTTTCAGTGCAGGGAACAGATTGCCCAGATAAAGGAGACACACGGAGACACACGGAGACACGTGGACGGGGCAGACACGGTTAATACGGACCGCAACTGACAGACTGACAGACGTTAACTGGTCCTTGGTTGCCGGCCAGATTGGTCGGGCCACCTGGCCGACCGACCCGAGCACCGGACAAACAGTTGCCAAATCAAATTCCACATCCAAAGCCAAAGGACGAAGGACAAACGACTTTGTCTCACTTTCATTTGCTGTCGTCCATTCCGTGCAAAAACAAAAAAAACGAGTCCCCTGAGTGGGATTTTTAATTATACTACTATCTATATGCGACAGTGATGGCTATTTGGCTTGTTTGCAGCAATCGAACAAAAAGGCAGCTTGGGGGCTGTCTATTTTAGGTCTCTCCAACTCCAACGAAGGGAATATTCTATCAAAAGGGAAACCTTTTTAGCCACTTTTCTAGCCATTTTACCCGCTGGCTGGCCATCTCTTGTGCTTCTGCCGGTACTTACATTGCCGTTGGGTGACCATTTGGAGACACCTCCTCCCAGGCTCGTGGCTGATGTGAACTGATGGGCATCCCGTTCGCCGCCGCCACCGCCAGCCACTGCTCCTGTGGCAGATGCAGATGCTGATGCTGCTGCTGCTGCTGCTGCTGCTGCTGCCACTGCCGTTGCTGCCGTTGCCACCACCGCAGTGGATGTGCTGCTGCCAGTGGTGGTGCCCGCTGTGGTGCTGCCAACGTTCGAGGCATTGCTGCCACTGCTGCCGGCGCTGCTGCCGCCAACTGTTTGATTGAAATTTATTGATGACCGTTCCACGTTTTGGGGTCGTCCATGTCCATGTCCGCATCCGCATCCGCATCCGTGTCCAGTCCAGAGGGGCAGATGGGCAGATGGGGGTGTGGTGCCAGAGATGCGGTTGCGTTGTTAGATTGGTGGGTTCCATCGTTAAAAATATTTACGATTAAAAGAAAATTGCATTTGTTGATTGGATTGGATTGGTTTGGCGGGCGAGTGTCGCATTGTTGTTGTTTTTGTTGTTGTTGTTGTTGTTGTGTTGATGAGATTGATTACGATTGCGGGTCACCAAAGAGCAGAGTGCCAGGACAGGAACAGGAAGAGCAGCAGGAACCACAGAGATAGCGATGCGAAGCGCGCGACGATTGCAGGACACATGAAAGTAAATGTCGGGAAAAGTGGCCATAAAATTTGATTAAAGTTTAATGCTCAAAGTGCACTATAAAAGCAGCTTGACTTCAGCTTCGGGACACTTGACTGGATGACATTAACGGGGGCGGAGCGGGTAGTCGCATAGGGGATACCCTTTCCCCAAAGAGTGTGGGATAGAGAGATATACCTCTGGATATATGTATCCCTTTTGTGTGTTCCAATCAAGCTCCTTCGCCATTCAAGAGAGTACTCTGTCTCTCCCACACACAAAGTGTCAAAGGACAACAACTGTTTATGATCTTACCATATTGCGATGGTATTACATCCGGATCACGTTCGTCCTCGACCAAATCCTCCGATGACTTCGTTTTTATGTCCGTGTGCTGCCATCGCGGTTTCTCCAGGTTGCCGCCCTGCCGCCGCAAATACAAAGAAGGGAAAATGTCACAAAATAATACCATACCGTACTCGTACGTACATTAATTGCTCTGTGGGGTTCAAGGGGCATACACACTCACCTTGAAGACATCCCCCGGCTGGGCCGTTACACCGGCAGCCGTTGCCTTGCTGCCGTGATGACGATTGCGCCGCAAATTGTGCACAAATGTCACCACAAATATTCGTATCGCGATGGCAACACCAATAATTATGATGGTCAGGACACTTCCAACAATCACCGGCGACAATGTCAGTGTTACGTCGTCGTCTGTGGGTCGACGTGTTTCGCGACGGTGTTGTAGGTGTTGTAGGTGTTGTTCCCGTAATTACAGGTTGACAATCGTCGTTCATAAATCATCGTTGGGTTTTAGATAGATTGCCATCGGTGGCATATATCCACACATCAAATTGATTGCCGATGGAAGTGGTAGTTAAGGAGCGAGAAACGAGACCGAGAACGACAGCGAGAGCGAGACCGAGAGATTCGTTCGTTGGTTTGGCAGGCAGCACACGTTAAATTTGTCGACATTTTGACGGTTTTATATTTAGCCCAAAAGGAATTGCACAGCACATGAAAAGAGGAGAAAAGCAAAGTGTATGAGCACATATAGGAACGTGAGTAAATGCGGAATAAGAGTCCTGGTGAATGTCTAGCGCTTAAAGTTTAATTGGGTAGAAGGCTAGACAGTGGAACGAACTGGGAGGAAAGTGTGTAGAAGATTGGGTTCTGGTTTGGGAGTTAAGGAATCTCTGAATTCCGGAGGAACCTATAAATGTTCCTTGGAATCTTTCTCCTGGAATCGTAGCTTTCCCTATAGCTCTTTGAAAGCACTCCCCATAATTTCATTTCCTGCCATGATCCTTCTACCGCCTCTCTCCAGTATGCATCTCCGTCCTGGCTTAAACTTCATCCCGTTTTTCGCCTTGTCGTTCCACTGTGCCGGGGTTTAGCTTTGGCCCATTTTCTCCCATTTGGCTCAGGCTTTCTGATTCCCCTCGACTCATGTCAAAAAGTAATTTTACACATATTTTACGCCATCAGTTGATGGCAGCAGCCGGAGAATGGCTATGGCTATGGCTATGGCTATGCGAGAAGGAGCCATGAGGCAGGCATGTTGATTATGTAAGTACTGCAGATGACTGCTGGAGCCTACCTGTCAGGCAGGAGAGGCCTCGAGAAGGATGTTGGATGTTGGATGCTGGCTGCTGGATGCTGGATGCATGGCATTAATGCATGGAAAGGAAATCACAGAGACCCTAGACCCGGCTGATGGTTGGTAGCTCCTCAAGTGTCAAAACCATAAACCCAGATGAAGAGAAGAGATGGGCTGGGGTGTGCCCAGTGACCCCCCATCCATCCCACCAGCTATCCATCCATCCATCCATCCATCAATCAAGCAAATTGTGTTGCTCATTTTTCGGCGGTGGCAGCGGCAACATCTGGCGGCAGAGGCTGGCTGGCTGGCTGTCTGGCAGTGCCACTCACCTGTCTTGTAAGCTGTTGAGCCAATTATGAAATCGGGCAGGAGATAAGCGGCGCTTCGTCCCTTCTGGTTGTACGAGTAGATGCGTAGCCTCAGCGAATTGTTCTCCTGGACCATCATCGAGGTCAGCGTGTCCAGGTTCTCCAGCGAGAAGAGGGCCTCCTCCGCGTTGCTCAAATTGAATCTGCAATGGGGAGAGCGGGGAGAGCAATGTAATCGTTGGCCCTCAAATGATTGCGTATTAAATCAAAAGAAATGGCTAGGAAATCAACGGCATTAAGCCTTTAATCAAATGTTCAAGCAGAGCAAAAGCCAAAACCAAAGCCACAAATACTTTTTGGCAGCCCTTTTTTTCCTTGGAATTTCCTGGGCGTTTTTTTTTTTCTTCTTTTTTACGGTTCGGTTCTCTGCTATGGCATGTTTTCCTAACCCCGTAATCCCTAAACCATTCCTCCAGTTAGAAGATATGCGCGCCGCTCTTTCCAATCATGACCTCAATTTGAATTTGATGCCCCTTTTTCCCAGCGATGGCTTTGGCTTTGGCTTGGGCTTTGAGTTGTCTTTCCCCAGCTTCGATTTCGATTTCCCTCCAGAGGAAAACTTCTGAAATATTAGGGTTCGATGTCTATATACATTTCTGCCAAACATTCTCTACATTGATGATGATGTTTGTTGCGTTTTTCCGCTTTCGAATGAGGGTTTCTTCTTTCATTTTTATTCATCCTATATGACGTCTTTGTTTTTAATAAGAAATATTTATTAGATGTTTCTGGGTCCCCCCCACAAATGAATACCGAAAAAGGGCATCAAATGAGGGAAACCCTCGCATAATGTTATGTGTGCATATGAATTTGATTTCCTATTTACCATAAACATATGTACCATACTCGCTCTGGCACTCTGGCACTCGTACTCGTGTGCATTGGCGTTGGCTGGAAGAGCCATTCAAAGACAAACACACGCTGGCCAAGAGCGGGCTGTTTCACGCCTAATTACACACCCTCTGCCACTACCAGCAGAAGTAGTCCTGCCACTACTACTACTACGGATATCCTTCAAGTGGACTGGACTATTAGGGAATAAAATGATGCTGGTACTCGTGCGAGTGTCTGTCTTTGTGGAAGGTGTCAGGCGCAGACACCGCTGCTTCTTCCAGCTCTCAAGGGACGGAATGTGTGGCTCCATGAATGCCCATGAGTAAACAGGGCTTCTACATATACATCTGTACATCTGTGAGAGCTACTATTAACCCTTGTGCTTCCTAAAGAATCAATCAGAGTGCAATTGGAATCCACGAGGGAAAGGGAAAAGTCTAAGGAATCGAATGAAAATGAAGTCCTTTAAATATCTTATTGAATTATATCTAAATATAGCCATGGAGGCTTTTAAGATTTATTCAATGGCTTTGACACACTCTCTATCAAGGAAAAGTGTCCTGCGAATACAATTGAATTTCTTCCCATAACCAATATAAATTTTATTCCCTTAAGTATCTGCAAATCTTAATTAAAACAATACAAATATAGTGAATATTTTCCTTGATCAATTTGTAAATTTACCCAAACATTTTATGCCATGCCCCCACGGCCCATTCGTGGGTTAAGCCTAGGCAAACACACACACACTCACACATGCAGTGTACATATGTGTATTCCCCGCAACAATATGGAGCCATTTGTTTGACATATGCTCCATATCTGTGCTTGGGGTCAAGCTGCCAAACAACCCCTACCCGTCTCCCGCCTCCCGCCAAAACCCGCAAAATTTCGCCAGCTCGCAATCCCTGCCTCGCGGGGGCACGGTCATAAGCAGCTTAAAAGCATGGCCCCCATCCCCTTTGGGGCGGCGGGGCCCCCCCATGCTCCCAGTTGTTGTAGTTATAGTTGATTAATATGCTTACCTGGTGATGCCGGTGCGTGTTGAAAACATTTCCAGTACAAATATTTGAGGCAGGCCGCCGTCATAGCCCGGTATGCACTGTATGTCAACACTCAGCTCTGTGCGGTTGAAGACGGTACAATTGCTGACGGCATTCGGCAGAGCTGTTGAATCGGGAATCGGGTATCGGGTATCGGGAATCGGAATGGGGGTGGGTTGTGGATTTCCAATCCCATCGCCGCAGAGAACGACAACGGAATCAGATTTATGTTGGTCCACACGTAACGCAGGAAATTAACAAGCAGCAGGCATCATCGTTTGAGGGGGGGGGGCGGTGTGGGGAAAGAGCAAAAGAGAAACAGGAGCATATGAAAAGTTGTTCTTTTTTTGTGTCTGTGTGTGCCGTGTGTGTGTGTGTGTGTGTACACACAAGTGTACAATGGCCAATCTCTCTGGTTTTGCTGGTTTTTGGGGTTTCTGTCTGTCTGTCTGGGTGTCTGGGTGTCCCACTCCCCAGTTGAAATCCGAGCAGCAGTCCCAATCCCTGTGCCAGGGCCTGCATCTGTGTTTGCTGGCGGCATTAACATGTTAAGGTCAAATTGCACGTAATGAAGCAACGGCAAACAGTTAACGGCAGGCCATGCAGGGGGGGGAAAGCCGAAAGGGATCCTGTGCCCCGTTCAGGGTTGGCCAGGCCTTGTTTGGCAGTAGGCAGATTTCCGGTTAATTTCTTTATGGAACATGTAAGATTTTCCCTGGAACATTGGAGGAGGTTTAGAAACATAATACCATATGTTTGGGGTATTCCTTTTTTTTATTAATTAATAAAATATCCTTGTTCTACAGTATTAGGAAGGGATTTGGGCTGACTAGGCAACCATTGGAATATTTAAAGAATATTAAAGGGAAGCGATACAGAAATAAATTATAAATAAATAAATAAAGGTATTCAAATGTTCCCTGTCTTAAGACTTCTTTCAACCTGCACAACCAGAGAGAGAGAGGGGGAGAGAGAGAGGGGGAGAGGAACAAACACTTACCGGCCAGGACCACTTGGAAGAGACAGGGATGCTGCTGGGTGCCCACCTCGTTGGCGGCCCAGCAGGACAGTGTGCCATAATCCTGTAAATATATTTATTATTTAAAATGCAGCTCTTGCTTAATTGCACGAAGGATGTGCATACACTCCTCTCGGTGGTGTGTGTGTGTGTGTGTGTGCCCACCTGATCTGTGACTGGTGTGTACTTTAAAATGCTGCGACTTCCATTCACGCTGAAGCGTTCGCTGCCCACGTCCAGGGTTTCGCCCGAGTTGTTGAATTTCCAGCGAAATGTTCTGCAAAGAAAAAAAAGGAGGATAATATATTTTATTTTATTTTCTGCCCGTACATATGTACAAATGTATGGAGCGTAAGTTGCGTTGACATTTTGACAGGAGTGTGTGTGCCAGCAACAGGAAAAGAACGGATCGGAACAGAGCTGGACAAGACAGGACAGGCGCAGGAGCAGGAGCGGGAGCAGGAGCAGGAGCAGGAGCGGGAGCAGGGGCAGCATCAGGTGGAACCGAAGCAGGCGACAGTCAGCCAGTGGAAACATGTTTGCAGAGTTTTACATTTTTAAAATAGCTCGTTAAAATATTAAAGGTTAAACACGGACTCCTCAACCGTCCTCAACCGTCCGCCCACCCAGATATTGGGAAATGGGCAAGCCTTTTAAAAGGTTAATTATCTCTGGCACATTCGGTTCGGCGCTTTCGGGGACCACTTCGAGGGCGTTGCAGTGCAAAAATAACCGTAAATCAATAAGGGCCAAAAAGAAATCCATTTAAAAATACTCGTACACTCCGCCAGAGTTAAATGAAATCAATAATGGACAGGACCCGAGAGGAGATCCCGTTGAGAGAGAGCGACACGCGCGCGTTGACAGTGACGGGATATACGACAGATAGGGGGAACAGGACTCGTTTTCGGGCCCAAATTGGGCATCATTTCAGGACCTGATGGGATATTAATAGTTTTTTAATGGTGGATATCTGAATGGGCTGGGAATTCTATTGTTCGAAAACGATTCTGCAGATGTTCTTTGGATTTTCATGGTGCAGAAATAGTTAGTTCCTTTGTGGCTTAGATTCCCCCACTTTAAAGGCACCTTTTGATTAAATTTTTGTACATTTTTGTACACAAAAAAAAACAGAAGAAATTTCTGGTCTGGCTTGTCAGGCATTTAAATGCTGATAAATTAACTTGTCGCACCCATCATCCCATCATCCTATCCTATCATCCTCCTTCCATCCAGTTCCAGGCCCGAGTGGCGTCCCCTGTGACCGCGTCGAAAAGTATGCAGCAGCAGCAGCAGCTTCTAATGTTCACGCCAGGATCCACTCGGCAGGATCTACATCCAGCAGCCAGCAGCCACAACAATTACACGAGAACGCAGCTGCCTTGGCCCCGGCACGGCCACGGCCTCGGTCTCGGTCTCGCATATTTTCCGCCGGCTAATGATTAATTATTTTAGCATAAAGCGTCAGCTCAAGACGCAGCACACAGCAGCACAACAACACAACAGCAAAAAACAGAACAGAAAAAATTGAAATTAATACAAGACAAGACAAGGCGTGCGAAAGAGAGAGAGCACTAGAGAGAGAGAGAGAGAGAGGGAGTGGGACGCACTCAGACAGCTCGGACTAAGGCAGAGTGGCAGCTGGTCAGAGCGACAGGAGACAGGAGACAGGGCCTAGGCATCGGCGGCAGGGGCTGGGGTGGGCCTCATTAAAAAAACATTAAAGTGGGCCACACTCCCGCTGACCGGCTAAATCCCCGGCATCAGCAGCGGGTAGCAGCGGGGAGCACCAGAAGCTGGAGCGGTGGGGGGAGCATTAACCTCCGGAAAAGCCAGTTGCACATTTAAAATGAATTAAAATCAACAATTTAAGGTCCGTGTGAAAAGGAAAGCAAAAGAAAAAACAAGAACAAAAAAACACACAAAGAATTTTGTGCAGCGGCAGCAGCAAAAAATTTGGTAAATTTTCTCACATTTCCTCGTTTAAACACAGCATTTTCCGCACACACAAAATTACAATCATTTGTCAATTTTGAAAACAGGAAACCGGAAGCAATTGCCCACAACAGAAGCTAAATCGAAGGGTAGGCTGGAGGCAGGGAAAGCACCGGGTAGGTGGGGCATAGAGGGGATGCCCATTTGGTACTTACCGCGGCGGTGGATCGGCCTGTATCTCGCATATAACCTCCACAGTCTCATCCTTGGAGGCGCCAATTAATATCACACGGTCCGAGTGCTTGCATATCGGAGTGTCTGTAATGGGAACAGGATAGCAGCATAAGATAATGATATATACATAATATATAAGGCAGAGATCTGCACAGCCAAGAGTTCTCCTCTTCCAAGCTCTCGACTTTGGGTGTAAATATTTCTGATTATCGTTTCCCGCCACCTGTTGAGGGGCCCTGCCCCGCTTTCTGAATGGCTAATGATGTGCCCTGTAATCATATCCTTCCCGTGCGGCTGAAGGGCATTAAAATGTTGTGAAAATCGTTGGAAAGTGCTTTGGGTGTGTGTGCACAACGCCGCCCACACACACACGCACACGCACACGCACAAAAGTGATTTAGTCAGAGCACGACGACGCCTTCTCATCAGTCAGACAGTCAGTCCTTCAGTCCGTAGGGAAACGGGAGAGAGAGAGAGAGAGAGGGGGGGGAGAGTGGAAAAAGCCAATGGGAAGGCTGTCGTGTGGAAAGTGCCTCGTTCTTGTTCACGGGAAATTAATTAATGTGGCAACATGATTTAGTACTTCCAGGTAAACAAGGCGTTCCGTTTCGTTCTGTTCCGTTCCGTTCCATAAATGTTAAAGGATTATTAGCTGACGGCACACGTGGCGTATGCGTAATTTGCTGTCATCGTCGTCGTCGTTGGGGCGGGGTGAGGTGCAATTTTTGAAAGGGAACTTGAATTTCTGATGAATTGTTTATCTTCAAAAATGTACACAAAAAGCAAAAATAAGGGCGGTATGGGGTTTGGTGGGGAGGCGTAATTAATTAGCCAGAAAATTACGCCCAATCCTGACATCCTGCTGAAGGATGTGGCTCGTATTATGTTTTTGTTTTGGGGCGGTAGGCGGTAGGCGGGGCTGGGCGACTGATTACTTAGTCGCTTTGCTAATTAAGCAACACTTGAGTGGCCAAAAGCGGGCAAGGGGTGGCCCGAACTGACCTACATGGCCGGAAAATGAGGAAACTGAGGAAAATGGAATAAGTTCAATGACATTCACAAAAGAAATCCCCCCTGGGAATATGGATGAACTGCAACAAGTGGGCAAGGAGGCAAGGAATCACAGGGGAACTCCGATTATTGTAAGCCACAGTCGAAGAAGGGAATTATATCTTCAATCAGAATTCAATCAGAAAATCACTTGCATAATTATACATACGAGTGGGATCTCCCCATTTTGAATAGTTTGGCATGTGCCGCATGTGCAGCACCGAACGAAGGCTGAAGAAAGTGGTAGAAACAGCCGCCGCTGTGGCTGCGGCGCACACTTCATTTAATTTATGGCCCGCAGCAATGCGCCCTGTCGTGGAGTGGAGTGGCGTGGAGTGGAGTGTGTGGCATGCTCGTACTTGAGTTGGAGCAGCAATTTGTATGGCTCAAAATGGCTACAGCGCCACGAGAGGAGCAGCAGCAGGACAGGGCAGGGGCAGAGTGTGTGGGATACATGTGTATCGCTCAGCGGCAGATACTGCTATCGAGGGCCCGGAGAGGAGCAGCCGGCGATGCAGCAGTTGCCGGAGTTGCTAAGCCACTGCTCGTACCCCGGCCCACAGCTCATTACGAGTGCGATCATCATCATCCACATCCTCATCAGTCGAGGCGTCTGTCAAATTGCTTAAATTCAAGCGCACAGCTGGCAGGGCTGGACCCATCTCCTTCCTAGGAAGGATGGCTGGCAGCAAACATTTCGCGGGCTGTTAAATTGAAGCATAATTCCGCTTGGAGCCGCACACTGCAGTGGCCTTTGCAGCTGCAGCTGCAGCTAGAGTCCTGTATCTGTATCTCGGAGCTAGAGTCCTGGATCTGGTGCTGGTGCTGGTGCTGCGATGAAATATGGCCAAAGTACAGCGCATGTGGCAAGCATATGAAAAGTGAAGAAGCGCGAGTGAGTCGAGGAGGCAGTGGCAAAATGTTGTATTTATGCAAAAAGCGGAATGAAAAATATTTTCACAGCCTTGACTTGCAACTGCGTCAAGTCTCTGCCTCTCCGTTGCCCGTCCCCTGTTCCCTGTCTCCGGGTTGAGTTGTAAAATGAAAACGGACGGAGCGCAAAAAATATACAACAGCAGAAAGAAATAAGAATGGAAAAGGCTTGGGTACCCCGAAGATGGAGATACTCTCACAGATACACTTCTTTTTCGATGGTGGCATATAGTAAACCGATTTTTGGTTCAAAAATTCAAGATCTTTTCATCCAAAAAAGACCTTGGGACCAATCGAATCCCAATCTTGGCCTTTGCAAACTTTTTGGCGCAAAGATATAATAAATAATAAGAAATAGTCCCCACTCCTAGTCGTAATACCCTTTTTTCCAGTGTATAATAAAAGCACAAAAAGGGAAAAAACTGGGGGAAAATTGCAATACATCAAATGAGTCGTGGAGCGGACAGGGGCAGCCAGGGGTTAGCATGGTAGGTGGAGCGGGGTAGGGGCGAGGAATGACAACTGCGACGTCTGCAGCCCCTGACTTTATGATAAGAAAACAGACGAACGCACAGTGCAGACACATAAAGAGGGGGAGAGGGAGGGATAGGGAGGAAGAGAGACATTTGGTAGATAGATGATGCATTCAAACAAAGTGCCGCCGCTTGGCAAATTTATGCTTAAAATCGCTGATGCATCACTGCAGCATCGCAGTGGAGCAGGCAGTGTCCAGGGCCAGGCGAGAGTCTCTGTTTAAACAGCCGCCTCTCTGGCGGGGGACTCTACGGGGGGGAACAGCAGTCGGTTTAGGGCTACTCACATTTCACACGCAACGGCAGCTGATTGCTGACCGTCTCGCCCTCGTCGTTGATGGCACTGCACGCATAATTCCCGGCGTAATGCTTGGTGATCTTCTGCAGGACCAGGCTCTGATTGGAGCGTATCACCCGAGCGGTGGTATTGTGCTCCAGATGAATGCCCTAAAGGAGGGTGAAGAAGAGGTTTATAAGAATTAATTGGCGAAATATACAAAGGGTACATAGTACTATTCTTAAATTGATATGTGCTTAACAAAATGGCCAAAGTATTATCTTTGGAGGGCTATCTGTTCAATGATCTTTGACTGCATCCTCATGTATCTGAATGAATCCCGAGCAATCCCTATTTGGCATTAAGTTCATTATCCACTATCCTATCCATCCATAAGAACACCATCAGAGGGCTATCCTTATTCCTTATTGATGCTTAAAACCAAAACCTTCCTTCTCCCATCCTTCCATAGCCTCCATCCTAGCTCCTTCCATCTTTGCCAATGTTACATCCAAAGACATAGCTTTTTCCCAGTAATAACCACAATTTAAACTCTTTTATCCCTTAATCTGTAAATATAACTTGTATGCACTCATCCTGCGTCCTGCATCGCACACATGAAATAAAAATAATACAGTAACGGATCACAAATATAATCTATTCCGAGAATCACTCAAGTTCAAATTTCAATTTGCCAAAATCCGTTAAGCGCTTCCGAAAGGCAAATCGAAGGGGGAAGGTGGGGGGGTGGGGACGCTGCGGGTTGGGGGATTGGATACGAGTGATTGCCAAGCGATTGCGGACTGCAGTTGAGCGACGGCAAAATCAATGCCACAAATCCCAAAACTATTTCCACCCCAAAATGGTACGCTATCGAACCACGGAAGCCGAGAGAGTACCCGCAGTACCCCTGCAACTACCCACAGCCCCTATCCCCTTTCCAAGGGGAGTCTAGAGCACACTCACACACACATGACCCTGCCCCAGTGGATCTGGCGTGAATTGAAATGAGCAAACGCTGTAGCCGTAGCAGCAGGAGCACCAGCCACCGATGAGGCGGCTCAATGCATCATGACATCGGCGGTGGCGACTCCCCGAACAGCACCGCCACCTCAACGCATACGCAACTTGCCATGTTATTGACACTTAAACAGAAAATGAATGGAAGAAGCCAGTCGAGCAGACAGCCGGGCCACCAGAAAGAGAACCAGGCACCAGGCACCAGACTCGTTTGGGTTGACTTTGGATTGGTCCCAGGTCCCAGGCTCCGGTCCTGGTCCTCATCCTGGCCCTGGTTTTCGGAACTGGCTGCACTTCTGGGCCGAGAGTAGATGCGACGACCTACATTATGCAACCACAGCAGTTTCCGCCATTGAGGATTCGATTGTACGTGACACTCGAAGTAAACATCGTCGCCTTCCTTGATATCATCCGGTGTCAATGTTGAGCCCAGGCGTAGTGTGACCAAAGGTGGATCTGCAAAGAGACAGACAGACAGGGAGAGAGAGAGAGAGGAAGAAAAGATAAATTAACTTTTAATTGACAAGTTATGGGGTATTTTCTGGAAGGGAAATCAATGGGGAAATATATCTAGGCCTGGAGACTCTTTCAATTATCGTTGGAAGCATTTTACAATCGATTTTTTATGCATTTGGTACCACATATGTATGTACATATATTAATTATTATTATTATTCAGTAAATTATACTTAGAAGGTTTACAATTTTCCAACACTAATTGGGGAATTTTTTTGGTATTATTAATTTTGTATTGCATTATTTAAATGTGGAAAATAATTTAATTTATGGAGCATCTAAATTATATTCTATATTTAATTGGTATTGATATTTTCCAACACTAATTGGGGTATTTTTTAGGGTATTTATCTGCCGTTTCTTCCAATTCTTCATGATTCTATATTCTATATTTCATTCGTATTGGCTTGAAATTATCCTACGCTAATTGGGGTATTTTTTAATTATTAACAGAGTCTTGCGGACTCCATCCGGATAAATCTTCCAAGTACAAAACTGTCTTGTCAGCGCGCATAGAGATAGAGCTAGAGCCAGAGCCAGGGAGTGTTGTGAGCAAGCTGATTTAATAGTTTTTGCAAATATGAGCGATTTAGAGCAATAACAGGGACAAAGTGCAACATCAGCCAAGAGTTATGGCGACATCGCCGTCGCATCCTCAAACTGGGGCTGACGCTGGGACTGGGGCTTCGGCTGCGGCTTCGACCGCTGTTTGCCAACATGTGTTGCCGCTTAAGTCGTTTGAATTTGCTTAACGAGCCACAAACTTTGCGACAAACAGAAAGCAACAGCAGAAAGGATCCAGAGGCCCGGAGACCGGAGACCGAAAACCCCAGACCCGAGAGCCCCGCCAAAGCCAAAGGCACAGGAACAGAAACAGGACGAGGGCGAGAACGAGAACGGGGACGAGGACGAGGATGGGGACAGGGCGGCGCACGTGCCAACCTTAATATTGTTGAGTTATTGGCGGCCAAAACCAAACGCCGACAGTCAAGAGTTAGGCAACAACGAGGGCCAAACCCCAAGCCAAAAAGTTGCCCTTCCTTGCGCTCTCTCCTCTCCGCTACTGGAAAACTTTAGAATGGCCCGGAAAACTTTTGGGCTCGCCTTTGGTCCTCCTTCGCCGTCGTCTTCTTTGGCTCTTTGGAGCCAGTCGTCGGTCGTCGGGCGGCGGCGTCTGCGTCTGCCAATCAGGCAAAGTGCCCGAAGGGCTACAGAAAACTCTTTTCGCTGAAAAAGTCGCGTCGCGTATTTCCGCACACATGTTGCCGGCCATTTTTGTGATTATCATTTACCGTTACGGCTGCCGTTTTCCGTTCCGGTTCCCCATCCCGTTGTAGCTCTACCCACGCCCCACATCGATCGATGGCGGACGAGCTCGACGGTTCCTCCGTTCCTCCGTTCCTCACAATTTATGCTGCCCCCGCGGGGCACTTCACAGTTCTGCAAATATTGAACACAGCCGCCCTGGTCTTTAAATGTCGGAGGAATATCTTCATAAATTATATTTTATGAAGCATTTTGAATGCATAATTTATTCCTTTGTCGATTCGATGGATTGGATATATAATCAGTTCTTTGAAGTTTTGGAAAGGAATTCGTTGCTCATTTCTCTGCACCTTTTCGAACACTTCTTTAAACATTTTTTGACGTTTTCCAACAGCTATTTGGAATATAGCAGGCCATGAAATTCCTCAAAGTTTCAGTCGATAGAAAACCAAATTCGAGCCTCAGTCAGTGCCTGGTTTTGTTCCGTTTCGGATCTCCAAAAATATTAACGAGATATTTTGTAAAATTAAAAAATACAAAGCGTAAAAAAAAATTTGTTGAACTCTCCAACTTTTCCAGTAGTAATTTTTGTTGTGAGTTTTTCTGGCCGTGACGTACAATTCTGAGCCGTAAAGTAATTCCGAGTTTATGTTTTTGTAGGGACCGGTACCATACCATAATGCCACTGGAAGTCAGCGTAGCTCCCAACGAGCGGAAGCGAGAGAGAAAGCGACGCGTGAAGAAGGAGAAGCCGAAGGCTTCGATCAGTCGGCGGGCCTTCCTTCGCTTGGCCGAGGAGGAAGCTTGCTCCATGTACGCGGGTCCCAGGGAGCCACCTCCTATGCCGAAGAGGAAGCGGCCTCTTGAGTCACAAGCCAAGCCCCAAAACTCGATTGAAGAGCAGAACACGGCGCAGCCGAAACGGAGTCGACTTTACCCATTCGGTGATATTCTAGGGTCTGAACTGGAGACATCGGAAGCACCCTTTGACAGAGGATTAGTTCCAGCTGTGGAACCAATCGCTGAACCAGTTTTGGAACCAATCGAGCAAACATTCTCCCGATTACCGGAACAACGCAACGAGGAACTACTACCGGAAACAGTATCGGATATTTTCGACTCAATTTGGCCAGAGTTCGAGGACCCTGCATGGGGCTGGGATGCGAATCTAGTGCCACCGTCTCCCACGATGCATAACCAAGGTGAGATGCCCGATGCCCATTTTCAAACACAATTCGATGCCATGCAACCCAACAACAACTACAACAGCGGTCAAAATCAATCATTACACGATTTACTTGACTCTTTGTGTCCTTCCACACCGAACTTTGACCACGTTCCACCGATGCAACCGATCAATCAGAGCTTCGACTATATGTCCTCGCGTCCTTGCAATCCAGCAAGCGCCCCACCCATGACACAGGCGTTCAATCAACCATGGGAAACTGAATCGAATATGTTCGAGCCAACAGTAGATCAGAGTTGGAACTATTCCTCCTATCTACAGCCCACATTCCGCAACAATCACAGGCAACCTTTGCCTTTATGCCCCTCCGATCATAGCTTTCGTGGCTTTCGAGAAGTTCCTTCAGCAGGCTATCAAAGCTGGGACTACGGAAACCATCTGCAGCATGGAGCACGGCCACATAGCACCATGGCTCCGGATGTTGCACGTCACACTCAGTCCAGCTGGAAGTCTGACTTTAAAATAGATTTCAATAACGTAGAACCACCAATAACCAATCCTATGGATAGCCCAAGAGCTGAAAATCCAATCAATGTGACACAAGTTCGTCACAGCAGGAATAATCCACCGGATCTCCTACCAATGCCCCGCGTACCGAAAACTTTTGTGAGACCAGCAGACAATCGTATGCCATTGGGACCATCTAATCAGCAAGATACTGGGCCACCATTCCCTTCATCTGTACCAAAGCCCACTACACGCGTGAGACCAGCAGATAAACCATATTCCGATAGGAGCTGTGCAACAGGACAGGCCTTCTCTATGAAGAAACCCACTGACAGCTGGAGCTCTTGGCTGGAAAGAGAGCTTGATCAATCCTCCACGGTAGCACCGATTAAACGTGTGGCACCGGTGGCCAATCCTGTGACTGTTCAAAAACCCAATCAGAGCTGCAACACCACAGTCTTAAGCAATCAGAACTCCGACTCTGGCCTCGTAAAGATACCAAAAATTCACGTGAGACCAGCAGACAATGCGATTCCGATTCAGACCGGGAACTCTGCCTCCAAAATCCAGATTACTAATGTATCAGCGCCTACTTTACCCATGAAACCAGCAGCACAATCCCAAAAACAACCCATGGCTATCCCCAAACCTGTCGAAAAGCAGATTGAGCGTGGAACAACTCTCCAGGCACCTATCAAACCCCCTGTAACTCGTCTGAAAGCAGCAAAAACCCCGATTCAGAACTGCGCGACTGGCATCAAAATTCAGCTTGAAAATGGCGCACAGATCGACATACCCCAGGTACTCCCGGTTGCCCCTGTAATACCACCGGAAAAACAACCCATGGCTATCCCCAAACCTGTCGAAAAGCAGATTGAGCGTGGAACAACTCTCCAGGCTCCCATCAAAGCCCCTGTAACTCGTCTGAAAGCAGCAAAAACCCCGATTCAGAACTGCGCCTCTGGCATCAAAATTCAACTTGAGAATGGCGCACAGATCCACATACCCCAGGTACTCCCGGTTGCCCCTGTAATACCACCGGAAAAACAACCCATGGCTATCCCCAAACCTGTCGAAAAGCAGATTGAGCGTGGAACAACTCTCCAGGCTCCAATCAAAGCCCCTGTAACTCGTCTGAAAGCAGCAAAAACCCCGATTCAGAACTGCGCGACTGGCATCAAAATTCAGCTTGAAAATGGCGCACAGATCGACATACCCCAGGTACTCCCGGTTGCCCCTGTAATACCACCGGACAAATCGATGAGTAGACCAAAATCACACCAGAGCGGGCCTAAAGCACCCGAAAAGCCAATAGATAATGGGAAAACGCCCCATCCGACTGTACCAAAGCCCATTATTCGAGTGGGACCAGCACAAAATCGGATTCCAGTGGCGAAATGTGGCTCCAAAACTCAGAAGAACAATGTGGCAGCACCCGCGGTACCTTTGAAACCAGGCGGACAGCTAGTATCTGTGCAAAAACAACCCATGGCTGTGCAGAAACCCTCTCTCAACCTGAACACTGGCCAGGTACCCATCAAAACCCCCATTACCCGAGTGCAAACAGCAAATACTCCGGCTGTTATGCCAAAGGCTGCGCAGATCCCGAGCTCTGGCATCAACATGCAGCTCGAGAATGGGGCAACGATCCACATACCGCCCATACAGATACCGTCCACGCCTACCCCTGCAGCCATACCGGCAGCCAATCCGCAGCACATACCAAGAGGACAGTCCCTGAGCAAGCCGCCAGCCCTGTGTCCGGCACAGGGGACGTTCAACGGGCAGCAGAGACCGATGATTACCGTCATAAAGGGGGACCATGGCGAGGACATACACGTGTCCTTTGTGACGGGACCCGATGGCTTGGTCACACAGGTGAAGAGGTTGCCGCCGAATGTGGCGGCAGGTTGCTTCACCGGCGGCCTGCCGCAGCTGGAGCCGATCACAACGAACGAAGTGCAACAGATCCTGCAGGCCCCCAACTCGTATACGACCCTGCACGGACCCGTTAGCGGACCCGTCGGCCTTCGCGGTGCCACGGGCCCCGACCATGCCGTCGAGGACGAGGAGGTGGACTACGAGGAGATCGGTGTGGCCGAGACCTTCGCCGAGTACTGGCCCACGAAGCTCAAGCACGGCGTGGCCCATCCCGATGCCGTCGTGGAGACGGCCACCCTCTCGTCGGTGGAGCTGCCGGACATCACCTACGACCTGTCGCTGCCGCCCCACTTCCAGATCTCCGGCAGCCTGAGCGCCTTGCAGCTGGAGGCCGTCTTCTATGCGTGCCAGGCCCATGAGCGGATCCTGCCGAGCGGCGAGCGGGCGGGCTTCCTGCTGGGCGATGGCGCCGGCGTCGGCAAGGGCCGGGCCATCGCGGGCATCATCTACAACAACTATCTGAAGGGTCGCAAGCGTGCCCTCTGGATCTCCGTATCGAATGACCTCAAGTTCGATGCGGAACGGGATCTGCAGGACATCGGTGCGGGCTCCAGGATCAAGGTGGCGGCCCTGAACAAGCTCAAGTACTGTCGCATCGACTCCGAGGAGAACGGCCGGTTCCGGAAGGGCGTCATCTTCTGCACGTACACGGCTCTGATCGGGGAGTCGATGACGGCCAACTCCAAGTACCAGGCGCGTCTCCGGCAGCTGATCCAGTGGCTGGGCCACAATTTCCAAGGCGTCATCGTGTTCGACGAGTGCCACAAGGCCAAGAATCTGACGACGGGGAATGGGGGCAAGTCGACGAAGACGGGCGCCACGGTGCTGGAGCTGCAGCAGCGGCTGCCCCTCGCTCGGGTCATCTACGCCTCGGCTACGGGCGCCAGTGAGCCCAAGAATATGGCCTACATGACCCGGCTGGGGCTGTGGGGTCCCGGCACTGCCTATCCGGAGCTGGGGGACTTCGTGTACGCCGTGGAGAAGCGGGGCATTGGAGCCATGGAGCTGGTGGCCATGGATATGAAGCTGCGCGGCACCTACATCGCCCGCCAGCTGAGCTTCAAGGATGTGACCTTCCGCATCCAGGAGGTCAACATGCAGCCGTCCTTCACGAAGGTCTACAACCAGGCGGCCGAGCTCTGGGCGGAAATCAGCAAGAAGTTCACGAAGGCCTGCCAGCTGATGAACGTCGACAGTCGGGTGCAGAAGATGATCACGTGCCAGTTCTGGTGCGCCCACCAGCGCTTCTTCCGCAACATGTGCATCGCCTCCAAGGTGAACATGGTCGTCAAGATGACCCGCCATGCCATACGCCACGGCAAGTCGGTGGTCATTGGCCTCCAGTCGACGGGGGAGACGCGGACACTGGAGCATCTGGAGCGGAACAACGGCAAGCTGACGTCCTTTGTGTCCACCTCGAAGATGATCATCCAGTCGTTTGTCGAGAAACACTTTCCCGCGCCCAAGCGGGAGGCCTTCATCGAGCTGGTCGCCACGGGGGAGTTCGTCCCGGAGATGCGCTCCCAGCCGCCGCGTCCCAAGAAGCCCAAACCCACGCACATCGACTGGATGGAGGACGCGGATGATTGCTCCGAGGACAGCGACATGGAGATCCTCCAGGAGTGCTGGCCCCCGGTCGCAGAGGAGGCCAACGTGAAGGCGGGACGCAAGCGACGGGGCAGGCCCAAAAAGACCGACAAGGGTAAGGTGAAATCTATCTTCGAGACTGTATCTATCTATCTCTATATTATCTCTATAATTATCTGCATCTGTTTAGTGGAAAGGTTGAGCATTCAGGATCGCATCCTGCAGCATTTGCACGAGAACATGATGTTCCAAAGGAATGATGACCCAAAGGAAGTGCCGCAGCAGCCGCAAATCACCGAGCGTGACGTCACACGCTGCATCCTGATGAAGGAACAGCTGCTGGAGAAGATCGAGGTGCTGGGCCGCCACCTGCCACCCAACACCCTGGACAAGCTCATCTCGAAGCTGGGCGGCACGAGCAAAGTGGCCGAAATGACGGGCCGCCGGGGTCGTGTCATCTGCCAGTCGCGCACTGCCTTCCGCTACGAGTCGCGGGTGGAGGCGGACACCACCATGGATCTCGTCAACTACAGGGAGAAGCAGCGCTTCATGGAGGGCGAGAAGTACGTGGCCATCATCTCGGAGGCCGCCTCCAGCGGCATCTCCCTGCAGAGCGACAAGCGGGTGTTGAATCAGCGCCGACGCCTGCACATCACCCTGGAGCTGCCGTGGAGCGCCGACCGAGCCATCCAGCAGTTCGGACGCACCCATCGCTCCAACCAGGTCAACTCGCCGGAATATGTGTTCGTCATCACGAATCTGGCTGGGGAGCGACGCTTCGCCTCCACCGTGGCCAAGCGCTTGGAGAGCCTGGGCGCCCTGACCCAGGGCGATCGCCGGGCCACCGATGCCCGGGATCTCTCACAGTTCAACATCGACAACGCCATCGGCCGGAACACGCTGGAGCATGTGATGCAGCAGATGGCGGGTGAGCGGATGTTGACCGTGAAGCACATACCCGAGTCCTACGAGGGCAACTTCCACGACGACTGTGCCACGGCCCTGGCAGGCGTGGGGCTACTCTCAATGCGGAAGGAGAACAACCGGAAGATCTTCAGCGTGGAGAAGGACTGCAACAACATCGCAAAGTTCCTCAATCGCATTCTCGGCTGTCGCGTGGAGATACAGAACGCCATCTTCAAGTTCTTTTTGGGGAACATGTACTCGCTGATTACGCAGATGAAGCGAGCGGGCCGCTTCGATCTGGGGATACTCGACCTGGACGCCCACGGGGCCAGTGTGACGTCCTTGAAGCTGATGCGATTCACGAGGCAACATGCCACAGGGACGGCGGCCACGGAACTCCATACGGTGAAGGTGGAGCGGGGCATGTCCTTCGAGCAGGCGCTAGCCAAGTGAGTGCGAGGGTCCTATGCGATTGCTTAAATCCCATACGACTGATCCTTTCTCTACCCTGCAGATTCCGCAGGGAGGCCAAGGACCCGCACGAAGGATTCTACATCCTCAAGCAGAAGAGACGCAACAAGACCAACGCCGTCCTGTGCCTCAATGGCCAAATGGTTAACTGCCTGGTGAACACACGCAAAGAGTCCACCCCGAGTCCCGTGTTTCTGCAGCTGTACCGCCCCAACACCGGACCCCAGGTGAAGACCGAGAATCTCACCTCGATTACCCAGCGCTACGTGCAGGTGGCCCCGGAGGTGGCACAGATGTACTGGCAGCACCAGTACGAGACGTGCCTGACGAGGTGCTCGCACAGCTTCTGGAACCGACCCTGCCCCAATCCGAACAGCTGCGAGCTGGGTCTGCGGGTGCGCACCTACCACGTGCTGTCCGGCCTGATGCTCCCCATTTGGGGCCGCATCGAGAAGATCATTGAGCGGAACGGCCGCAAGATACAGATCATACGCGTCAAGACGGATGTCAACAAGAAGATTGTGGGCACAGTGGTGCCGCCGTGTGTCTACAATGAACTGGTCGCGGATCTGTCATCGGACTCCACTGTTTCCACAAATTAAGGACTGGAAGAGAGCCGTAGACCTCTATGATTGAGTACCATTTCGGTATAGATATTGGAAGGTCAAATAAAACACCAATCGAGGCTAAGAGACGGCGGTCTCTGAAGTACATAAGTTCCTCCTCCTCTTCTGGCACCCCATTCTTCCTCCTTTAAGAGCGCGGTAATCCCTTGTCCTTACTATTGTCTATCTGGCCAACTCAATTGCCATTCTCCGTGTGATGCTGCTGCTGGCCACTTTAAAAATATCAACTCAAATTGTGGCATTCACTGGGAATAAATATATCGCGGCGGTAGCTTTCGCTTTTTTTTTTGGAAATGCCAGGCACGCGCACCAACCAGCAGCAGGAGCCATAAACAACGGAGCAACAAAGGACACTTTGCAGAGGCTGTGTGTCTGGGATCCCCCCTAAGAATGTCATATGTATGGGGTCTGCACTCACAGGGAGTGGTGGGGGAGGCGAATGGGAATCTCTACAGCGTCTGTGATTGCATTGCATGTTTTTGTCTTGTTTCCATTGCCAGGAGACCAACTAAGGAGCGAAGGACTGCTCGTACGAGAGTACCCTCTCTATCCCTCTCTCGCCCTCTCTCGCCCTCTCTCCCCCTTTCTCTCCCTCCCTCTCTTTTTGTTCTCTGGGCAACATTATAAATTTTAAAACGCACACTCACATAGGAGATATAAACAACATTATACAATGGCTGTTGTAGGGGGACCAAGAGTAGGAGTCACTGTGGCAATAGAGGGTGGAAGCAGGGAGTCACTGTGGGAAGGACGCCTCTGTAGAAAGGGGAGTCTTTGTAGAAATAGAGGGTGCAGGGGCAGGGAGTCACTGTGGGAGCAGGGAGCCGCCACTGTAGAAAGGGGAGTCCTTGTAGAAATAGTACGATTACGAGTGTACGCATTGTATCCTGTCCTGTATCCTACGAGTGTGTGTATATATAAAGTATTGCCAAATGGCCTTGGCCAAATGTGCCTAAGGAGCCAGAACGTTCCGTTGCTGTTGTTGTTCTTTTGGTGGCATAACAACTCACGCGTGATGCAGATATCACATTCTGCAGCATCCACATTCGTTTATTCGTTTAAATTAAAGTCAACTGCAGGACGTACGAGTATGTACCATTTAAGGGAGGCAGTGGAAATGCCCTCAAAGAAATTATGGTCAACATTTTTGGGGCATGGGAACTTTGACAGAATCTAACGACATATATCAGAAAGAGAGAAGGATTTATCAAAGATGAGTAAGAAGGGTAAGAAACCTATGAGGAAGATGGATATCAGTAGCCATATCCTTGAAGTCCAAAGCTCATTAATTTTTGTATATAAATTGTAGAAATTTTTTGTAAAAATATTCCTTTAGTCGTTAAAAAAAATCGGTGAAGGAAAAGACCAGATACTAACCGATGTTTAGACATATCCATTAGGTACCCGTATTTTATAGTATTTTCGGCAAGAAATAATAGAGTTTTTAATATATTTGTTGAACCCTAGAAGAACGTCGTTCGTATTTGTAGAATTATTTAATTATTTTATATATTTTATATAATATAATATATTAATTATTTAATATAATTATTTTTATATATAATTATTATTTATATATTTTTTGTTTTTAGTATATTTTTTACTATTTCCTAGAAATTACCTTCCTTGAGAGTTAATTTGAAATTAGGGAAAAATAATTTTAAAAAATTACATCCACTCCCAAAAATATCTCTCCTTCTAGTCAAGGTCTCGTAGCTTCCAAAAACCCACCAAATCTTTTTCCCCCAACCATGGATACTCTGCACCAGATTCCGCCGTTTGCCACGCGAGTAAATTATGAAATATGTTCGTTTTCTTAGAAATTGTACCCAAAACGCCAACATCCCATCCGAGTCAAGTGCCTGCCTCAACAACAGACTCATACATGGTCCTGTTTGTTGTTCCTGCAGTGTACGTTATACTACGTGCCGATCATAAAGTTTATTTGCCCCGAGACGGCAGCAGCAGCGAGGCAATCGCCTTAACGGCAGAGCGCACAAGGAAAAAAAAAAACAAACAAACAAATAAAAAATAATATTCTAAAATATAAAATATGAGGCCAGAAAGTATGTGTGGCGCATAAACAAATGTATATAATCATATACGAGTATATACCGCGTATATATACATATATATTCTTTAGCGTAAAGCCGTAATTTCTGTTGAAGGAGGAGTCGCGGCCCCGAAACTCTGTGATTGAAGAAGGAATTTGTAGAGTAAAAATTTCATATTTTTAACAAACGAAAAGTAAAGAAATGCCATTACGTGATGCACACACAGAAAATGCTGGTGCAAAGGAGTACTCGCATGAAAGGGGGGGGGGAAAGGCAACCCCACACATGCTCTATACTCCATGTGCGATACAATAAAATACATTTTGGCCAGCCGGAAACACCCGGCGTATACGTAACGCATTCGTACAGTATGATATCTTTCGCTCTGTCTCTCCCCCCTGTCGAGGGGCGGGTAGTAGTACTTTACGATGTCCGCAGTGTGCCACCCGATTTCGCGGTTATATTTTGGGGTGTGCCTTAAGCCTCTGGTAGATGTAATTATTGAGAGATTTCCTTTAATTTTTCCTCCGCAGCGGGAGCCCCCCTTTTTATTTTTATTGGGGCCGCAGCAGCAAAAGTCCTTCATTTAATTTAAGCGACTGCCATACATTTTGTTAGCCCACATATTTCATTTGTGTGTGGGGTGTGGGGATTTTTTTTTTGTACTTTTTTGGGGGGAGGCCCTTTTGGCAAATTATTCACAATTTGTCATTTGTCTTTGATTTATTTGCATTTTAAAGGCTTTCAACGGCAAACGCTGGCAATGGGCGACATCGCCGACGTAATAAATTTCAGCCTTGTCGTGGTCCCTGGTCTCAGGTCTCAGGTCCCTGGTCTCAGGTCCCTGGTCCCAGGTCCTGTCTACCTTTTGGTAGCTGTCGACAATGCTTCGTTCGTTTTCCTTTGCTCTCTGCTGGCTTTTTCTGCCCTCTTCTTTAGAGTCTTAAACACAATTTGTAATACTTACAAACGACATTCAATTTCCACATGGTCTCCAAATACAGGCCATTCACATTTGGGTTTTCCGCACGGCATGTTATCGATTTGCCATCATCGTCTGTGGTCGGCACAAAGCTCAGCTCTGAGCGTGTCGAGTTCTTTGATATGTCGTCCTGTTCAGACAAGAAAAAAAGAACAGAAAACAGAGAAGTCAGGAAGAGAGGAAGAAAAGAGAGTAGAAAATATAAGAAAATTGTTCTGCATTAATTAAGTTTTTTCTCCCCCCCCCCAGACGGAGGCGAAGACTCTGCCTTGAGGCAAAGTTTTCGTTTCATTCGGTTTTTTTTTTCTTTTGTGGGAACTTTTTTTTCGTTTTGCAAATTTGTCGAAATATTTTATGTTTTGCAATTTAAAATTTATTGGTATGTGTTTTTCCAGGGTTTTATGTGGCACCACGTGTGGTTGTGTGCTTGTGTGTGGGTGTGTTTGGGGCATTATAAATTTAATGGCCAAGAAGGACAGCGGCAACAGCAACAAAGAAGTCACATAATTAGTTGGGCTCTCCCTCTCGCTCCCTTGTAGTGTTTGGCTGGTCATAAAGAGCGCTGTCCTTGCTGGCATATCCTTTTTAGCCGTTTACACTTTACTGGAATTGCTGCAAGGCAAGGCAAGGCAAGGCAAGGTGTCCTTTGGGGGAATATGTTGTGAATGGTTGGCATGGGATTCCTCCTGTGTGTCTGTGTGTTTGTGTGTGTTTTGAAGGTGCTAAAGCGTCGGCAGTTAGCGGTTCTATAAATCCTTGTGTTTCACAGTTGATCGATGGGGCTTAAGGATTCAAGGAAGTACAGAGAAAGCATGGAATTTCTATTCCCAAATTTAAGGCTAGATACACAGATGTCCTTCAGTAATCACACATTCTAACCATTTGCTTCCCTATTATGAGCATTCCCTACTTAATTATGAGCTCTGTTGACAGATCAAACGACATACCAGAGGGGGAGAGAGAGAGAGAGAGAGAGAGAGTCCTGTCAATGCAGGATTACTGACAACACAATCCTTGACTTCATAAGGGCTCTCTCGGTCTCGGTCTCGGTGTCGGTGTCGGTCTCATTCCCGAAACTGTTACTGAAAAATTCCCTCCGTCTAACATTTACATTTCTATAGACAGACAGAACGACCGACCACCACATACCAAATGCTTTCAATTTGTAGGCTAAACTTCTCAATTAGACCGTCTGCAGGGCTTTGATTAATGCTTTTGCAACCCCACGCAGCCAAACACCAACCCCCCCAAGCCCCCAACCCCCCTCTGGCCAGAGTTCGGGCCACCCACATAGACACACACAGACAGACAGAAGGACGGACAGACGGACAGACAGACAGGCAGACATATATTAGAACCCCTAAAGTAGGGTACGAAAAGTCATGTAAAACATGTGGGATGGCCTGCCGGTAGGATCCATCCGACGTGTGTGTAAAGGGGAGAGATGGCTGCCGGATCCGCTGTGTGTGTGTGTGTGTGTGTGTGTGCCAGGGATGGCCGGGTTGGTCTTTGCCGCATTACGGCAACTTTATGCTACATGAAAACTAGTGAAAAACATTTCCGGTCTTTAAAAACATTGGGCCCAGGCCCAGGCCCAGGCAAGCCCAGGCCCTGGCCCTGGCCAGAACGGCAAAGCAATCAGCGTGTATATGCATATACGGCGGATAGACATGGACATAAACAACGGACCCAGAACCTAACCAGGACTCCGACTCCGAATCCGACTCGAGAGGTGCCTCACCCCTACCCCCAACACACACAAAAATGAATTGCAACAAAATTGCGCCAAAACTCCCATAAATTTGTCCAAAGTTGAAGAGAGCACAGAAAAAAAAACTAAAGGGAGAGGGGGAGGGGGAGGGGGAGAAACAAAAATAGAAAACAAGAAACGAAAGGGGGAGGTTTTTTTTGGGGAGTATCGAAATAGGGATATACCCTTGGAGGTTTTCAGAAATTAAATGATGGAGGGGTTCCTTGAGAATCAAATAACATAATCTTAGGCTGATTTTTGTGGGTTTGTATCCAGCACCAATAGAGTTTCTTCAACAAAGAACTATATATATCAAAGGAATTAAGTCAAGAAAGGATCTGCACCAAGTTCAAGCCACATAGATGCCATTCTAAAGGCCGCTCTTGCAGGACCATCTATTAATAATTCTGCTCTAGAAATATGCACTTTCTTCGATCGGAAAACCCTTGGACCCTCCGCAAAGGGTATGAAAAAAAAGTAAGAAAATAAAGAGGAAGGGGAAAAGGAAAAGCCAAAGCAAAAGCGGAGTGGAATCGTTTGTGTATTGTGGAGTTTATATCACATTATCTGCTGTTTATTCTAACCAAGTTGCGGAGGTGGTATCCGCCCGCAGGACGAGCGATGAGTGTGAACCACGCCCAGGGACAACAAGTGGGTGGTACAGTAGTACAGTACATCCACATACCGCCACCTCCCAAGTCTCTGTCTTTGTCTGTGGATGTCTCTGATGGTTGGGTGAGTGGGTGGTAATGGCTGTGTGGGTGGCAGTGTGTGTGTGTGTGCAAAGAGTTACGGGCCACGTTTGTTTTGGCATGACTGTGCAAACACAATAAGTTATCGAGCTTGAACGTGAGTCAGTCAACAGCAGGAGCAGAAGAAGAGACGAGAGCGAGAGCTAGAGCGAGGAGAAAGCCAGCAAACTAGCTGCGTCAATTGCGGTCACTCCAGGACCCCGGACAACACACACACACACACACACGGAGGACTCTGCTCCACTCTGGTATCCTGCTAGCCCGACACTCACCTTTGTGCGTCGTAATTGCCGTTTTCCCTTGTACCACGTGATGATGGCATTCGGTCGAGAGCCCGATGATTCGCAGGCAACTTCATAACGACGATCGGCAATCATCGAGCTGGGGGGCTCCAGTATTCGCACCACCAGAGGCTTCACTGTAAGAGGAAAGGACATTCAATTGAATTTCATTGCAATTGTAATTAAAGTTCTGTTTGCCATCATATTTCATGGCCTCATAATTGCAGTGCCGCACCGCAGCCCCTCCCCTACAATGTACACAATCCTTGGAGTACCTTTCGTATCAACAACAATTTGTGTCTATTACGTCTCGACAGCTCTCGAGTGTTGCACTTCCTGAATGGCTGCCTGGTTGCTGTAGCCGCTGCCTGGATTATGACTTTGTCCGGGCCCTTCCTTTGCCTTTACCTCCTCCACCTTTCCGTGTTTCCCTGTTTCCGTGTCTACGGCTCGTTGATACTTTGCTTCTTACGGCCACGAGGCCTCCTCTAAGAACACGACCTGACATTTATGTTGACGCCCCCCCATCGACAACTCTGGGCTGTAGGCTCGGTGCTTCTCCCCTCTGGCATATAATTATTTAATGGGGGCTCTCTTTCTCATAATAGTACTAAAACTTGGCATTTAACCTTATGGAAAGTGGAGTGGTACACTCGGAGAAAAATGACATCCTGAGATTCGGTTTAGATTTAAATTTTAATCGAATCTATTTGCACAAAGATTGTAAACTTTAAAATTTCTGTTACTACATGCATAATTTGATTTAAATTTATTTTTCATATATTAAATAAATATTTGTATACTCGTTTTAAATAAATATATATTATATTTAAAAAAATATATTTTGTTATTTAAATTAAATATATATTTATTTAATTATAACATTTTTTTTTTTAAGAGTATTATTTCAAGAGTATATTTCAAAATTAAATATAAAAGGTATAAAAAATACTTTTCATTTATTTGAAATAGACTTTAAATCAAAATGAATTTTATTTAATTGCATACTTGAAAGCTTTAATATAAAATAAATTAATTAAGGAAATACTTTTAATAATAAAAATATACGTACTTAGAGTAAATTATTTAAATAACTAAGAAAATTATTTAAATAACTAAGAAAATTATTTAAATAATTAAAAAAAAATTATTTTAAAAATTAATAGAAAATAATTTTAAAACTGCATATAAATAATATTAATATTTGTAATAAATAATTTGAATAATTAAAATAAATCATTTAAATAATTTAAATCAATAATATTAAGTAATTTAAAATTAATAATATAAATATTTGAAAAAAATAATTTCAATAATTTGAATAATTTAAATAAACCATTTTTAAAATTAAAATAAATAGTTTTAATAATACTTTTTTAAAATTTATAAAATGATTCTAGAAATTTAAGTACATATTTGTAATATTTTAAATAAATATTTTTAATACTTGTTTGTGTTTTTTTTTACTATTCCATTTTTCTTCGAGTGTAGCTTGGGGACACTCTTGAGGCCTAAGTTTTCTGTAAGAAGGAGCTCCAGTCTGTACTAAATCTTTAAAAAGATAACCAACGCGTTTTCAATCCCACTTGGAACCTAACCTTTCTTTCTTTCTTTCTTTCCCTTACTTTCTGCCACACCCACACTTTCCATGGAGAAAACTCCTTCGAGAAATGTTTGTACAAATATATTAGCGTATACGGTGGGTACTTACAGTGCATATCCAGTATGAAGCTCTTCTCCTTGGGCTTATCTAATTGCGTATTCAGTGCCTGACATGTGAATACGGAATTCAAATCGTTGCGCTGCACCGATGGCCACAACAGACGGTTCTCGATAACATCGCCGGAATTGTGCTCGTTTTGATTGTCGACAAGCAGTCCATTTACGAGCCAACGGACCTGCGGTTGGGGCCGACCTATAACCCCCCCAAAAAAAAAAAAAAAAACACCGAGAAACACAGACACAGGGAAAAGAGTTAGTGAAATGGCAGTAGTAAAAACGAAAAATGGTGCAAATTAAAAAGTCAAGCTTGGAGAAAGGAACGACCAGCCCTCACCAGGACCGACTGCTGTGTCGAAGTCTGTGATACGATAGGAAGGGAAAAGCAAAAGCAAAAGAAAAGCAAAGCAGACTTTGTGATATTTTCATTTGCAGCAGACAGCAGCAGGAGGCACCAGTGAGCGGCAGCAGTGAGGGGAGACTTTTCCTTGAGCCCCAAAAAAACTTTTTAGTCCTCTTGTCGGTCAAAGCTTTTAAGGAAATTAACAGGAAATTGTCTAGCCGAGCATACGGATATAGCCATACGATGAAGAGAAGCGGGTTTCAGGTTTTTGGGGTTTATGTGTGTTTTCTATTTTTTTTTTAGGCAGGACTGGTGTGGGATGTCGATGGATGGGTGATTGCGCCCTATTGGGGTTAAGTTCGTCTTTTGTAGTCAGAATCAACTTACCGCCCACCACACGACAAGTGATAACGATATCATCGCCCTCCTGCTTTGGCCCCAATTGAGAGCCATTCAGCTGTCGGCCCCAACGATCCAAGATGATTGGCTGCTCCGGAAGTACTAGAAAAAACAAACACACACACACACAGGAAAGACACAAGAGAGGGGCATGGTTGGGCATCAAATATGGTACTCCATCATTTTTGGGGGCTGGCAACACTCACTTATTACTGACAAATTGAAACGGAAACTTTGCGTTTGACTTGTGCGAAAATCCACACGACATCGGTAAATGCCCTGATCATGACGCTTGATATCCTGCAACGAGAGAGGGAAACAGAGAGAGAGAGAGAGAGAGAGAGAGTGTAAATTATTATGTGTATGGGGGTGCGAAAAAGGGAAACACATGATTAGCATGCACTACAACACACACTCCCACCGCAGCACACCCACACACACACGCTCACACCTGCTGGAAAAGCCATATAATTTTCAATTATTGCATGTCACTTGAGCCCCACATCCCCGCACCTACAAAGTACAAGCCTCAAGTGCGGTCTGGCCTGGCACTCAAGCACCGAGAGCAGGCCCTGCTTTTACCTGCTTTTGGTGTCAGACATTTGGGATTTTCATTTTGGTTTCGTTTTGGGCTTTCCTTTCCTTCTGTGGAAAATGCATGCAAAATTAGACTAGTTTTAGTTGCATTGTCTCTCCTTTTGGCTTTCATTCTCTTGTTCAATAATTCAATTGACCACAAAATAAACCTATTCTTCTGTCTTTTGCTTTTTGCTTATTTTATTTGACATTTTCTGGTTGCAATTCTTTCCCATTCAGTCTGAAGGATTTTGCATAAATCCCAAAAATTTGCTTATCTTAATCTATGTTGATTTTGTGCAAAGAGAATTTTTATTCTGTGCAAAATCTATGATTTTAATTGTATTTCTATTCTTTTGCTGGATTTTGGGGAAAGGAAAATATTTTCAGCATTGTTTCTGAGCGGAGGAGAGAATTTTTAAATTGAATTTGATATCAGAAAAGAGTTTAATGTTTTGTTTCAGAGGCTGGTTGATATTTCAGTGATAAGATGGGGTTTCCATTGAAAAGAGCGCATTATGGCAGGATTTTTGATAAAGGATCTTCTATCTAAAGTGCTTTGAGCTTATAAAAGGGGAAAATTCGTGCCCAAAAGAGTATTCTTTACCTGTAGCTGGCAACATGAATGTGGGCTTGTATTAAAATGGTATTTTGGGGCATATAATCTTCTATCTGTACTCCTAAGCTCTCAAGAATGGTGCTTTACAGTTGGATGGAATGTGTTTAAGCCCATGATATAGCTTACGAATACTCTACTGTGTTCGAATTTCATTGAAAAGACAAATATAAATAATTATTATGTAAACATTTCCAAAAATAACCATCTATAAATATATCCAACAAACAATCAAACATTGATTGAATCATTGAAATAATCAGCAGCAGAAATATGGATAAATAATTAGAGCATATTAAAACCCATTCCATCTGTAAGATAAAACCCTTTTTTCTGACATCTGTATATCCGCCCCATCCACCGGGGAGTACTGGATGATTGTTTGCCACTTGCCACATAAAATGGCGTCAAGTTAATTGGCTTGCAATTGAAATGCAATTAAAATTCATTTATAAGCTCTGTCTCTGTCTCTGCCTCTATCTCTGGGTCCCCAGTCCCAATTTTTAGCACATAATTCATGAGCGAACGAGCTACAATCCGTGGGGCTCATCCTCCATCCCCTGGATGCCACTCGTATTATGAGAGGATATTGTGTGTGTGTGTTTGTGTGTGGCAGCTGGAATTTATGGTGGCTGCCTCTTCGTGTGCATTTCACATTCATTTCGAAAATGCAACCTCGTTAACGAAGTAGATCCTCCATTCCCCACTACCCCCTCAGCGTACCTGTGTTTATTGCTTAACTCACTTAAGACCTTAACTAAGTTGGCCTTTAAAAAGTCAAAATGCTTGGGCAAAGACAGCACTCAGGCACGGGACAGGGCAGGGCCAAAAGCCAGGACGAGACGAGACGAGAGACGAGGACGATGTACATGGCATAAGTACTCGTACATACAGGATTTGTATCTGTATCCGTATCTGTGTGTGTGCTCTGCATCTATGTATTGCATGACAGTAACGGTAAATCAAGTTATCTGTAAACATGCAAGACATTAATAAACATTTCGCGTGCGCCAGGCAATTTAACAACTTTTGATATCTAAATTTGTTTTCCACATTCCATTCCATTCCATTCCATTCCTGTTCGGTTTTTGTTTTGGGCTGCTTCTTGGCTCTTCTGCTTGTTGTTTCCGCTGCTGCCAAATACCTGGTACTTCAACAGCTCAAGGGTATACAAGCCTCAAGTAGATGAAGGCCTTACCGACACTTGCAAGCAACATTTTATTGACCAGCTCGATGTCTGTGTGGCCTTCTATGTGTAATTTCAGAGGCTACTAGAGCGATAGCTGCCACATTAAATTAACCAACAATTCAATTTTGAACATCTTTCACTCCTCAGAATCGAGGGAAGAGTCTGTGGCTGTGGCTGTGGTTGTGGCTGTGATATCCATCAGGATACCCTCTTTGGCAGAGGCTCTATCAAATAATAGCCCGCTTATCGAAAGGCAAGATACAGTGGTTCTCTTATTTGGTATTATTTTCTCTACCTAGGCATTGGAAATCCACAAAGTGTAGCAAGAATCCCTTCGACTTCATTAAAGTAGCATTTTCTCCCTTATTATACCCGATACTCAAAATGAGTATTGGCGTATATTAGATTTGTGGTGAAAGTGGATGTGTGTAACGTCCAGAAGGAATCGTTTCCGACCCCATAAAGTATATATATTCTTGATCAGCATCAATAGCCGAGTCGATTGAGCCCTGTCTGACTGTCCGTCTGTCCGTCCGTCCGTCCCTATCAGCGCCTAGTGCTCAAAGACTATAAGAGCTAGAGCAACGATGTTTTGGATCCAGGTATCCACACTCCTAAGATATCGGACCGAGACGAGTTGCTGAATCTGGATCAGATCGGATCATTTTTATAGCCGAAAGGAACAATCAATTTGCACTGGCTACGGAGCGCGTGACGTCACGCTCAGACTGATTTTCTGTCTCTCTCGCACGCACTCTTTGTCTGGCGTCTGCCGAAGGAGAGCCATACTGACTAAGTAAGTAAGGTATAAATGTAGAGTTGCGGTCTCCGCAGCAACTCACGACGTTCCCCCTCGTTTTTAATTTATTTCCACCTCTTGAACTCTGCAACAATAATTCATCAATTCTAAATGCAATTCAAAGATATTCTCTAGTCGCAACATGCCATTTTTGTTTCCTGCATCATTCTTCAACAGATTTTCATTAAATTTATAACACTCTCGCTCTCCCTCTCTCAGTTTTGGATATTGCATTTTGTTATCAACAAGTACACATAATTTACTGAATTTTTGATTCAATTGCGAGCCTCATTAGGGCATAAGAATCCACTTGATGAAATTGAAAAAAACTAAACACGAATCGGTGTAGTATTTGCATATTTTCTTTGTTTTTTATCCGCAATTTTATTTATATTTATTTGAGTTTTAAAATGCACAACTATTTGCATATTTGAAGATTGAAGAATCAATCAATTTATACAAAACTCAACAACAAGTGAGTGATTTTTGAAGTGCAATTTGCATTTTTTGAATACTATTATTTCAATATATTTTATTTATTCACTTGAAACCGCAAAAATTTGATTGAAAAATGCATGTATTTATTTCTAGAAATTTTTTGGTGTAAAAAAAACTCTTTCATTTACATTTTATTTAAATTTAAAATGCGCATTTATTTATATAGAAATATTTGCAGAATTTGGCTCGCGGCATCCGAAAAAAATGAAACCCGCGACTTTTGAAATGCACAATGACCCCGAAAAATGGCATTCAAGCGATTGAATAAATGAATGAATGAATCTTTTTGCAGGCCAGTAATGGAATATATGTAATTTTCAACTAATTTAACACACACACATACACAGGGAAATTAATGGGGAATCATGATTCCTGCGGGGTCGTGAAGGGGGTGGCGGAGGGGGAAGGGGGTGTAGAAAATCTCACCTTAATTTCCAAGGTTGCTGGCTGCGAATCAAAATGGAATTTGGCCCGTGAGCCAAAAACCTCCGGGGCTGACCAATGTCGGGGCTGGTCCCGTGCCTCCTTATCGCGAACATCGAAGCTGAAAAGAGAGAAAAGAGCCAGAGAGGTGGGGGTGAGAAAGAAAAGCAGACAAATACATAAAATAACATGGAACCGGGCAGCCACCCCATTAATATTTAATGTGGGGCCGTGGGGTGTGCGAATTAAATCGGTCCGCCTCCCCCAGCCCCTCCCCCCTGGTCCACTCTGAAATTAATGAAATCCATAGCCAATATAATTCAGCCAGGAACTCTCCTCCACGAGCCGGGCCGCTCCGCCCTATCCCCTTCTCCGGCCGCGAACTTTTTGCACGAAAATTAGCGTAATTTATTTTTGGCCTGCTCATTAGGCCACGGTCCAGAGCAGACGCTTCACGGATTTTTGTGGCGGTATTGGTGTGTGTGGTGCTAAAATGCAATTTATGCTCTGCAGATAACAATTAATTTTTTTCCCATTTTTTTGGGGGGGTATTTTATTTTTCAAATTCTTATGCACTTCGGCGTCTCTGCAGTGCATTTAATGGTTTAAGTTTTGTTTTGGCTTTCGAAGAACTTGGAGGAACTTCTGGGTGCATTTTGCGTGGGTTTTAGGGAAAAATATAAATACGAGTACACAGAAATATGCAAGTGGAAGTGGCAGAAGAATGGAGTTATTTCAGCATAAAAAAACATAAAAATACCTTCTAAGAATCAGTAAAAAATCATTTTATCATTTGAAGATTTTGTAAGTAAGAATATATTACCACTTTTAATGATCGGAATCGGAAACTGAGTCATCTCCCGAAACGTATTAATGAAGTTTTAAAAACATTTTTGAAAGTATTTTAAAAAACTGTTTTTTAGTATTTTAAAAATAACATTTTTAAAAATGGTGTTATTTCTATATTATAAATTAAAAAGAAACAATAAAAAACTTTGTACTATTTAAAGAATATATAATATTATACCCCTCTTAATGATCGGAATCAGAAGCTGAACCACTCATTGATTGGAAACTCCCAAAACGTATTTAAGGTACAGTTTTCAAAGTTTTTTGAAAATATTTTAAAGTTTTGTTCTTATTATAAAATAAAAATTTGAAATTTTTTTAAATATTTCAAATTTATTTTCATTGCTTTAATTTATTTTCAATTTTTATTATTATTCTAAAATTAAATTTTTAAATCAAAATAATTTAAAAATAAAAAATATAGAATATATAATAAAATATATATTTTTTTTATTTAGAAACAAAAAAAACACAATAAAAGAACTTGGTAGATCAAAAATCATTTAAAAAATTCTATAAAATACATTAAAGTTTTTGCCGAGGTACAAAATTCCATAGCTAATCCTTGTTTAATTCCTAAATCTTAAAAATACAAATTTTAAACAAAACGTAAGCTGTTTTTCGTACTCATGCGGATCAAATATATTTATATACGCAAATTCTTTAATTAAAAAGAAATGAAATGACAAAATGTAATTAAATAATAGACTACTGTTCTTTCCCTTTCTGAAATCCCTTTCACTCCATTAACATATTTTGTTGCCAGCCTTTCAGAAAAAGAGTAAAAAGAATGAAAGGAATGAAAAATGTACGAGTGCTGCTGCGTGAATTTTTGAAGCCCAGACAGACAGCCAGAAGGGGTCGTCTCTCAATCAGAAGAGACCCTCAATCCTGCCACTCTATCCCTCTTGTCTTTGTGTGTCCCTTTCTCTCTATCTCTCTGTTGCTTTCCCCCTATCTGCCGCCTCTCTCTCTGTGCCTCTGTCTCTGTTTCGCTCCTGCCCGAAAATACTTGTTGTTGCAATTTCAGCCACTTTCGACAGAGCGTTAAGCGCCCTTTTGTAGTATGCCACACACACAATAATTTATGCGGGAAGCCGCCGTCGAACCTGCCTCACAGCCACCTCTTCCTGTCCTTCTGCCCCTTTCGACACTCGTTGCAAATGCAACAACTTAATTGCGGGTCCGGACTGCAGTGCAGCCAGGACTCGAGTGCAACAGAGAGGCACACCAGCAACAGCAGCAGCAGCAGCAGCAACGGGAGGGGCCATAGCCCCACGTTAACCCAAATTTCTTCTTTTTTTTTGGCATATTTTTTTTTCTCCGAGAGCCGTTCTTAACACCGCCATTTTAATTAAAAACTAAAAAACAGTTGCACTCCGCACTAAATGGGAGAAAAAGAGAGAGACGAGTGCAGATTGAAAGGTGGAGCGAGAGAGTGAGGCAGAAGGATTAAGCCAGAGAGAGGGAGTGGCGGAGGAAGAGGTTAAAGGTAGCAAGAGGGAGAGGTAGAGAGGGAGAGAGCGAGCGAGTGCGAACGTTAATAACAGTTCTTTTGAGGGGCCTATGCAGCAAATGTTTATGGCTAAATAATACAGAACGAGTGCAGGACTCCTCGGAGCAGGACTTTCACGCAAATTGAGTGTAATGAAAAGGCTCCTCCATGGAGAGCAAGACGCAGCAAAAAATCTAGGGCCTGGAGCATAAAATGCACGGAGAGATTGAGTTTGGAAAATACCCTTAGGGAAATAAATCCAGGAAAATACCATGAACTCTGGTCTCCAGGAAAAATACAAAAAGGGAAATAAAATTAGTTTTTCTATGAATTAAAAAAATAAAAATAAATAAAAAATAATTTAAATATATTTAGCTACTTTCTCCATTTGCATACAACAAAAACCCTTTAAAAATAAATAAAAATGAATCAACTTTTTCGTTTTTCAATCCCCTACTCCTTCGAGTACACCCCCTTGAGCCCTGTATACCCTAAAAGCCTCCTCGCACAAAAGCAATTATGTATAGCACGAATGGAAAATCTTTAGTTGACAACCAAAAGGCGCAACGTGGCATGAAAATGCAGCCGTGAATGCAATTAGACGGTGGAGCCCCCCCCCCACCCAGTCCCCCTTAAGGCCAAGAGCTAGCAATTTCAGGCACTTCATTATGGACTTTCCGCATGGACTTTCCCAGGGACTTGAGTTGACTTGACCGTTTCCGTAATTGAAGCTTTAAAGCGTGGGCAAAACATCATCCAGCTCCAGCTTCTGCTGTCTCCACACACACACACACACACACACATAATTCCTGTGGCTCCTCTCGTCCTGGCCCCGAGGTTAATCACTCTAAATTAGGTAAACATAATTAAGTTAATTCCATGACGCGGGAACAAAGAAAAACAAAAGCTAAACAGAGGAAGGGGGGGGCAAAAACAAAAAAAAAAAAGTAAAACAGAAACAAAAACAAAACACAAAAATCAGAGAGGGAAAGGGAGGGCAGGGGCAAAGTCACACATCCTGCCCGGCACGAACGCAACAATTTCTCCCACCGGAAACAGGACGGGCCTCAAATCGTAGCCTACTTATGTGCGCGGGTCCCTCGGCCTCCTCCCCAAAACGATTTGAAAAGGTAGCAGCCGAAACACTCGAGACTCGACTGCTCCCGTCTCTCGTTTGCATTTAATTAAATGTGTGCGTCGACGAAGACAATTGGGAGGACAGATATTGGGTAGGGGACGACTCACCTATAGAGCGGTATGCCCGCATTGTCACGAAACCAAAGCACCATATAGACATTGTCCAGGGGCTCCGTAATGGGGCAAGGCAGCGACACTGATTTACCCTCGACGGCATCGACGTCCTTCGTTTTCACTGTGGGTGTGTTTTCATATCCAAAAATTATGTTGTCACGGATTTCGTGTTCGCGTGTGTGTGTTTTGGTCCAGCATCGTTTCGACATCATCCATGAAAATAGAAAATAAATGCGTAAAATTTGTTAATTAAATGTACGTTCGTTTCGTATATGCCTACAGCGAGTGGGAGTGAGAGAGAGGGAGAGGGAGATGGAGAGAGCGCGCAAAGCTTTTAGCAATTAAATGTTGATGGCGGCTTAATTTCTACGTAATTACGAATGCGTAAATGTGTGCTCCGCTCCGCCCTTTGGCAGTACATCTCCATCATCCATTGGCTTAGCAGCAGAGAGCCGGGAGAAAGCCCACGGCTCTGCTCTGTTCTGCTCTGCTCTGCTCTGTTCATTTATTATGCATGTTCAAAATGCGTGCAACGCAACGATTTTTTGTTTGTTCTTCCGTTTGGGGGCATATTCGGTTAGAGACTCTTGTGAAAGCCGCTAGAGAAAGGCCCACTTTAAGCTGGCTTTGGCATTTAATTACAAAATACAACAAAATATAGCTTTCGGCGGTGATTAAATGAGGTTAAAACTCCTGGAGAGCAATGCATTTGCATGATTAATATCTGGATAAATACAGATACGTTCTATTATAGTTATTTTTGTTTTTGTTTTTTTTTTTCTTCTAGATTCCAGCTTAACCCAATTGCTATGTTTTTTTTTCAATTTTCATAATTTTTTTTTTTATTTTTTTTTTATTTTGAACTTACAAAATGTATAAATACGCTTTCTTTCTTAAAAAAATGTATTTTATTTAATTTTGTATCTTTTTTTTTAATTTATATTATTTATAATAATTTATTTAATACATATTTTTTTCAATTTAATTTTCATAATAAAAATGGAAAAGAATTTTTATTTAAGACAGATAAAAATTAAAAATAAATACCCTTCCTTATCCTTCCTTCCTTATTAATAATTAAAATCCGAAATTAAATTGTATTTCATAATTAGATCCCCAGCGATTCCGGCTTATAAGCTTGTCTCTACAGGGCTCCAAATAGGGCTTGGAAACCTCCTTAATAAATGGATTTACTGTGTGTGTGTATGCGTATTTATTGCATCAAGTCAGCGGAATATTTAATTGTTTCTCGTCTCTTAAATTTCGAGTATTTTATGGCTTTATGTGGCTGCAACAACATTTTGGCATTGAATCAGAGGCCAGACCAGGCCTGGCCCGGCCCGGCGCAAAAACATCAAAATCAACAGCAGCCAACAATAGCTGTCACATGTGTGTGGTGCGGCCTGGCCTGTCTTTTTGCTGATTTTGTTGCCACAGCCACAGGCCCGCCGCGCGTCACAGCTCGGCTCGTATCAAAAATGTTTATAGATAAATGTGTAGATATAAATAAAAATGTCTGCGCATCATATGAGCATATCAAGAGCACAAAAAGGGCCATAAAAAATCGTTGTAACATTCTTCACAATGCCACCGCCCATCCCCATTGAAGCCTAAGCTCTCCTTCCCCTTCTAACCAATGGTTTTTCCTTCCCTTTCCTCCCTTTCCTTCCTTTCTTTCGTTTTTTTTCTTCTTTGCCGTTGACTTTATGTGTAAATATGAAAAAATGTCATTTTATTGCCACAATGCGTCGAAATTTTGTGAAAATTTATTGCGCATACGCAACATTGTACAATAAATATGCGCTTAAATGCCCCCCAACAAAATGTACGAGTATATGTCTGTTTAAGAGTGTGTGTGTGTGTACTTTATGATGGCACTGTTTGCTTAGCACTGGCCTCGACTGTGGACAGAGGCTGGCGCTGGGCATCCAAAACAGCAGCGACAAATGCGACTCAAAAAAATATTTGAAAATTTGAACGAAGATACTGGAAAATCTATACCAAGAATTAGCCTTAAAATCCCCTCAATTAATGTCTAGTATTCCCTGGGCATTTTTGTATCCCGAAAGCCTTTTTTTAATGTCAAAAGGCCGAATTAGTCATTCAGGAAGTGTGCGAGTATTTAGAAAAGGTTTTCCCACACCCCACTTCTCCGCTCGTTCATCTGATGGCAAACACACCTCTTCTGGGCGGTGCCATTAGTCGTCTGGCCATTTTAGCTTCTTAGCCGTCACACATCCGTCTGCCTGGAAAATTCCAATGCATTTTGGAGCGATGGCTCGGTGCTGGCGTTGATGCTGGTTGGTGGTGCATCAAAGGAATGCCTTGACTCGGCTCTGGCTGTGGCTGTGGCAGGCAAAAATGCATCACACGTTGGCTGCATTGCTAAACGACTTTAAACTCTGCTCTGCTTCTGGCAATTTTCAGAAAATTGTGTCCTCCTGGGCGCTGTCCCCTCCGCTCCCTCTCCCTCTCCCCTCTTCGGTGGTGTGTCTCTGCTGCTGTCGACTCCTTTTTCGACTGCATTTTTGTGTCGCCTTTTGGTTTTGGCCTTCACTTAACTACACCCAAAGCTCGTCGACAGCTCGTGCATGTTAAAAGCTATTTAAATATGCTCTCTTTGAATGCCTTGATTGGCTTACGTCCTCTCTCTCTCTCTCGCTTCGGGATGCCATTCCACTCCCTCCCTCCTCCCCTCCTCCCCTCCTCTCCTATGTGTCCTCTGCTATCACCATCCCTTGACTTGACTTGCATTTGCTTTCGGTTTGCCTTGACTTCAAACAAAAAAAAAAGAAAGGCAAAATATATGAGAGAAAAAAAAGAGCGAGGAAGATGGAGTGCAAGTGTTAGGAAGGAAGCAGCAGCATAACCTCTTTGCATGAATTAACCCTTTAATGACCAAAAGGAGGGCCAATTGATTTGAACCTTTCGGTGGGCGAGGAAGTGTCCATTAATGCACAAAAAATAGTGGCTTTTATTGGGAATTTCATTACACTCTTCCACCGGGTGTTCCCTACAGAAAAGGAGGAGATTCTGATCTTATATAGATCGTTAGATATATCCATGTTTATCTGTATGTTTTAGGATATGAAAGTTTCCTAATTTTGAAGCTACACTTATGGCTGAAACCTTATAAGAGAGGTTCTTCTCTTTATTGAATAAATTTATTACAAATCGTCTTCCCAAAAGTTGGATCAAAAATCAGTCTAAAATTTATGGAAAATCATTAAAATCCAAAAAAAAAAACCCCCTTAAAGCCCCTCAAAGTTTATTTTTAAATAGTACTTCCCATCAGGAAGTAGCCCAGGAAATGCGAAGATTTTGGACTCCGGCAACCACTTTTTCTATAATGTTTTAACACTAGATATCCCTGAGTATCGAATGAAGGCTTTAAGCCTTAACCTGCCACCATTTTCCCTGCTGTAATTTCCAAATTGATTCCCAGTAATTCCCCGTTAACTCCCCCTTTTTTCCAGCTGTACTTTTCATTCGCGCACATGGCTTTTCTAGGGTTAAACTAACCTCAATCAGTATCCGCTACACAGACAGACAACCGCCTACCCGCCTACCCCGCAGACCACCCACCCGCTAGTTACAGCACCAGTAACCACCACAATGCCACGCCCCATCACACACCATCCATCCATCTATCCACACACACACACACACACTCACGCTCACGCACACGCACACCCTTTCATGCCACACACACACACCCATAGAGAAGCCTCCGGTTCTGTTGATGCAATTTCAAATGCAAAACTTTAATGGAATTTTGTATCTGTGTCTCCCTCTCTCACTCTCTCTGTGTGTGTGTGTGTGTGTGTTTGTGCGACAATAGTTTTGTGAACAACTTGACGCACTCGCAACTTTTATGTCAAATGCATTTTGCACATATTTTGTTGCAGCACCACCACCAGGGGGAGGAGGAAGAGGAGGAGGTACTCTCCTGAAGGGTGAAATTAACGTGTTGTCAGGCATTTTAATTGATATTTAACAAGAAGTCTCCAAAGCCAGTTCTATTCCCAGACATAATTGCCTCAGAGCTAGCCCACCTGCAATTACCTTTTAATCGCAGACGCATGACGCAACTCCAGCCGCTTCCCCGGCCCCCAAGGCCTTACCATTTTTGCCATTTTCCGTTGACATTAACACGTCACCAGACATGAAGGACTTCCTCTCTCTCCCTCGGAATGGGCATGGGAATGTTGCGAGTATTTGTTTACTCTGACATTTTCTCGATTAATCGTGGGGCTCATTAGTGGTGAAAATTTGTATGAAGACCCCAAGGGATACCGCAGGAAACAGAAGTTCCGTTCGGTGGAGAGTCTCATGAAATATACATTCATGGACTGCATGGCGCAACATTTATAAAACTCTTTTCTCTTGCCACAAACGGCGGCAGGCTCTGTTGAATTTAGCATGAACTGGCGGCAAACTTTAAGCAAGAATTTCCCATCGAATATTTTTCATGAAACGGAAATCAATCAAAACTTTATGCCAGGAAAAGTTTATTATTGAAAAGCTTTCACTATTCTATGGGGGAAAATGTTTCTATTTTGTTGTTGGTGAAAAATCACTGGCGGAACAGGATATAAAAGGCTATATTTCTCCTATTTTTCGAGTATAAAATAGATATTTCTTTAAGGATATTTAAAGTTCGTTTTGATCCGAGTTTTAACTCATCTTCCGCTGCCATGGCGTTCCATTCGCCTCCCTCTTATCCTTCACGTAGCCTAATGAGCCGTTTCTGGCCTGCCTTCTGCCTCTCTCGCTCTCCGTGTGTGTGTGTGTGTGTGTTGGTTGACTTTTTGAGCCGCTTTGCCATGTCCGTGTGTCCGTGTGCGTGTGTTCGTGTGGTTGGCATTATAAAAATTACGAGTATTATGGCTGCGCATTAAGTCCAACGCTGGAAAATTATCGTCCATCGTGTGTGTGTGTGTGTGTGTGTGTGTGTGTGTGTCCTGTGGTCAGACGGCAGGCAGTCCAGTGGCAATCCCCCACTGTTCCCCCTCTCCCTCTCTCTGCGGTTGTTTATGCCGACTTTTTCACTGCTTTTTGGTTTTTGAGCTAGGATTATATTTTCGGTAGAACTGCTGGCATTTACACACAGTGTGAGATGGCCTCCCACCCCCTCGAGCTGCTGCCAAGATGCAATTTCCCATCGAATATGAAAATCACATTTTATGCAGCAAACTATAGCCCGAAAAACAATAAACCTGCCAAAGAAATACAATAAAAAAAAGTAATACCAGCCAAAAGAATGCGAAATATAACGAAATTTCACTTTTATTAAATTACATTTGATATTTAATCAAATTCGGAATTCCTTTTTCTTTCTTTTTTCTAGTTTGTTGCTGGACAAATTGGCAGACAGCCAGGCAGCCTCGACATGAAATTAAATTGAAATAAAACCAAATTCAAGACAGTAACAGAGACAGGCAGCTAAAAATATTCAAATTTCATAATATTTTGCCATCAAATTCAATTAAATGACGGAACTTGTTGTGTATGAAAATTTATTTAAAAAGTTTGGCTCGAAATTTGCACGAAAAGTTCTAGAAAATATTTAGTTTCTACTCTTGCAAGATCTTGCCATCAATCCAACTAAATCTCAGACATTTTCCCCTTTAAATAAAGTCCCCCTGTTTATAGAAAGCCAAAAGTCGAGAAGCATCTACATGATTTTGGTTTTAACCCAACTCTGGCCCCCGTCCCGTCCCCCAATTTTAACCCATTTACATTTCTCTGGTTTCCCTTACTTATTGCTTGTTTTTCTTGTTTTCCTTTTGGCTTATTGATTGTTATCGCATCTCTGGACCGCAGCGGGACTGGAGACAGGGAGAACCAGAAACTGGAGGAAAGTAAATGGGATAAATTCGAGCTTAACCCCACAGATACAATGGGGGCCAAGAGGCAGCAACATGCGAAATATTCAAAGCTGAAGAGGAAACTAAAAAGCACAGGAGCAGAGCAATAGGGGTATTCCCGCAACTGCTTTCATTTTTAATCCACAGATTAGCTGCTCAGGGATTTTCGTCAAAATAAAATGCCGAAATGCGGCAGAGGGTACACTGAAAGAAAAATGGTAGAGTAAACATAAATACATCCATTTTTAAATTGAATATTCGGCTTAAAAAAAAAAGACAAAGCGAAATTAAATGGAATTTACTTTCGTTTGAGTATAAATGTTTTCAAAAAGGTTTTGAATTTGTCCCATGTTTAATTTAAATATAAAATACTTTAAAATAAATAAATACATTAAATTAAAACATATATGTTGATGTTTAATTTAAATACAAAACACTTTGAAATAAATTTATTATATTTAATAATATTTAATTTAAATATAAAACATTTAAAAATAAAATAAATACATTAAATTAAATAATATTTGATGTTTAATTTAAATATAAAACACTTTGAAATAGAGGCAAAAATATATTTAATTAAAATATGAATATATTCTATTTAACTATGAAATCATTTAAAAAATATTTTTAAATATATTTTAAACTAATATTTTCTTATTTCTCTCAAGATTCGAATGAAAACCCTTCGATTTTAATGCTTCCGCTCTGGGCTTCAGTTTAATGGCATAAATATTCTAAAAGAAAATATTACAATTTCAGGATTTTCATTCTTTCCAGATCATGTTTTTCCCTATAAATATTGCGCCAGATAATCCATAATTTATTAAATTGGCCTTGTATCATTTTACACTGGCATGCCTTTCCTATCGATATCGTTGTAGAAGCAATAATATAGAAAAGGCGATTGCATTTTACTTTGATTTGTGTGAAACCAAACAAATTTTGTAAATCAGCAAAATTTCTTTGTAGATTTGTAGACAGTAGATTTTGTGGTAGTTCTTTCTATCCATGATCTCAGGGGCCATTTGTATTTGTTTTCCCTTAAAATACTACCATTTTTCGTTAAGGTTTTCGTCTTAAAGCCCAGTACCGAGACGTTCTGATTTGGGGTATCGCTGCCATGGCATAATCGCGGCTAAAACACTAATCGTATAATGGCTGTCGATCTGTGCCGGTGGATCGAATCGTTTCAGTTGTAAGTCGGCGGTCGCCACAGTTTAACATTCAGAAAATGTGAACGGACTCAAACAATGCCAAAAACGATGCCACAATTGAGGATATTTCAAATACTTGTGCTGCTCGTGCCGCTGTCCTATGCACAGGAGCCACCGCCGCAGGTCAATCTGGGTGGGTAGACGACTCGAGAACGAAGGCTGGGAGAGGCGCCACAGATAAGTACAACAGGGGATGGAAATTATCTCAGTTTCGACTCGGTGGATGCTTTAATTTTCCCGATTTTCCAGCCAACGAAATTCGAGCGCGCCACTGGAGTTACATGCGACATGGCCAGAACTGGCGCGGTATATGCAACACGGGGCAGGAACAATCCCCCATCAGATTGGATGCCAAGAAAGTGAGTTTTGAACAAAACGCAATTGATTGCAGTAAACCCGTAATTTCTGTCCAGTCAGTTTTCATTACGTTGCCGGATATTGAGTTCGAGAACTACGACGAAATACTGCGTTTCCCAGTCATTTTGCAGAACAATGGGTACACGGGTAGGCGAGGTCCTCGGCTGTCCATTCGATTCGTATAACTCTCGAAAAATACCCCATAGCCCACATGGATATACCGGAAACGAGGAACAACAGGAGACCCTACATAACGGGCGGCATGCTCCAGGGTCGCTACATGGCGGAGAGCCTCCAGTTCCACTGGGGATCCTCGATATGGACCGCGGGGGGTGCCGAGCATTGGATCGAGGGGAAACACCACGATGTGGAGATGCAAATTGTTCACAGGAACTTCCGGTACCCAAATCTCAGCGAAGCCGTCAAGCATAAGGATGGTCTCGCCATACTCGCAGTTATCTTCCGAATCGACAGGGTACACTTTTGGCCACGACAAAAACAAGGCACTCTTTCAGACAGAAATATCCATTTATTTCAGGGTCCAGGCTACACTGCTCGCGCGCTCAAAAAAATCACCGATCAACTGTTGAAAATTCGACGCTTCAAGGATCAGACGCTTATCGAGGAGGACCTCACTTTGATGGAGCTGTTGGGCGACCTAAACACCAAGAGGTTCTTCACGTACAGCGGCTCCCTGACGACGCCCGACTGCCAGGAGGTGGTCACCTGGACGGTGTTCAGCCAAACCTTGCCCATAGGCGTCGATGAGGCGAACAATTTCTGGAATCTAACGAGCTTCGGGGGTCAAAAACTATTGGCCAACTATCGCTATGTCCAGAACCTGCATGACAGGACGGTGTTCATTAATTCGAATCGATAATGAAGGATATCCCTATATGCCTCCCCCCTTTCGAAGGACAGCAAATACATAATAAACTCTACCAAGAGTCAAAGAGCAGAGCAGTTCAGGGTAGGGCAGGGCAACCCCCCATTCGGGCTCATCTTTGCGGCTGTCTCTCAAGTTTAAACCATTTACATTTCTCTGGTTTCTTTCTTGTTCCATATTTCCTGTGTTTTCTCTTGGCTTATTGATTGTTATCGCATCTCTGGACCCCAAGCGGGAGTGGGGTATGGAAGGAGAGTAAATGGGATAAATTTGAGCTTAACCCCCCACAGATACAACGGGGGTTAAGAGGCAGCAACAGCGGGAAGACCACTAATACAAAATACTGCACAAACATGAGAAATATTCCCAGCTTTAAAGTAAACAGAAAAGTGCAGTAGTACCTCCTGTAGCAGAATTGCCATGGCTTGGGAAATACAGCAGCATGAACAGCAAAAACAGCAATAGGGGTATTCCAGCAACTGCTTTTTATGTGTTTTTCTTCGAATTTACTTCCAGCGATCAGCTGTTATTGGAAAGTTCTTTAAAAGTCTTCAAAGCAGACCTCTAGACCCTCTAGACACCAAAACTGAAGCAACTTCAAGGTTGAAGCTTAGTTTATTTTTAGAGTGACCGTTCTGTAGCGCATTTTTGGCTATATTTTATTAGAAATGTGTATTCTGTCTTATAATTATAAGATAGGGGTATTCTGGCGCCATTTAATGACAATGATTTCATCATTTACCAAGCCTCTACCTCTCAAGCAAAACAGCTGTTTAGAAAATGAATTAATCAAGCCAAAAATAGTTAGTGGAATATCCCTGATGGCAGCTACTGTAAGAACGTTTTGCCGTATCCAGGCATTAGCATATTCGGAATCAGCAGCAGCAGGAGGAGCAAGGAGGAGGAGCAAGGAGGAGCAGAAGCAGTACAGTAGAGCCCCAGTCAATAACTACACCAAACATCGATACCCCCCAACGGCAACAAACAGCAACAACAAGAAGCAACTTCTGCATAAATTTCCTACCAGAAGCAACACAAACATCAACCAAAGGGCGGGCAGGGGGGTAGAGAGGACTTAGGGGCCAACAATCGAGGCCAAGAACTAAGCCCAGTTTTATAATAAAGTAACAGAAATCTGTTCTCTGTATCTGCCCCGTTGGCACTTTTGACCCCCCTGACCTGGACCCAGGACCCTGGACCTGGGGAACTTTTGAAACAAGGCTTTGGCGTTGGCTTTGGCTTTGGGGTTTCCTGTTGCCAGTCCTGTTTCCTGCTGTTGTTGTTGTTGTTGCGGATAGTTTTCTGGGGTACGGGGGGGGGGGCTCAAATCAAGTCGCTTCTCTCTAAAGCATTTTCAATTTCATGCTAAAACGAGAGAGCATCAGGGGCCAGCAGGGGAAAGTTCAAAGGTGTTGACCAAGTTGCAAGCTCTGCTCCACAGAAAAAGCCATGGCGAATATTGAATTTGTTTTAAATGGCAGCCATAATGAGACGACAGGAGCAGTGTGCAAAAAACTTTTCTCTCAGAGAGAGCGAGAGAGAGAGGACCTCCTCGAGGTCCAGGTTTTGCGGCCAGGACAGAGGCGAGACAATTTATGGCTCCTTTGGGGGCCTTAAATGTTTCCAAAATTTAAATATAATTTGTTTTAGTTGACTTTCGGGCCCATAGAGGAAGCAATGTTTGACAGAAAATTTATCAAAAGTTGAAAGGGAAAATGGGTGTCGGGGGTGGGGGCGGGTAAAGTATCTTTTGTGGCGCAGATAACCGACTCTTTAATAAACTGCTTGGGTCCCCCAAGGGGATGGGTTATACATTTTTCAATCACAGAATTTTAATTATTTTCTTGCCATTTTTCCAATGAATTTATGGGAATTCCTTCTTCCAGGTAGGCAGGCAACGAAACATTAAAAACTCTTCGCTTGTCCAGCGATAAATACATTTGTTTCGGTTGTTGCTTTTCTGGGCTCTTTTAAATTTCCAATTTCTTGCATTTATCTTCGCACGAAACTTTGTGCCGCAACGAAACTTAAATCATCAGCTGTGTGTGGCATTTCAGGGCCAGAAGTCTTTAAGCCAGGGGCCGACTTAATAACCTTCTACGCCCCCCCGCCAACAACAGAACCACCTGCGACCCAAAGCCTAAACAGTGGGGCCTTGGGGGGTGCGAGAGATTTACATACTAAACAAGAGGGGGGGGGACTAGTCGTACAGTGGTGTGCCACAGAATTTCAGGGCAGCTCATAATCTTAAATCTAGGCAATATGATGGGTGAAAGAGAAGGGCAATCGAGCACCAGAGAGAAGGGCAATGAAGCTAGAGGGAAAGGTTCCCAAAAAACAAACACACACACGCAACACACACACACACACACACATAATGATATGCAAATGTGCATGAATAAGTGTGTTGAAGTGTGCCACACTAGCACTTGGGCAAACGCACCCACACACACACACACACACACTCCTTCGTTATCCCTGGAAGAACATCAAAGTGTAGGAATTTTCTCCGCATCGTCAGCGCATAGTTGGGAGCAGAGTAGGAGTTTCCTTTGGCGTTAATGAAATGTGCAAATCTACCAATTGACCAAACCACCAACCCCTAAAACCAACCCCCAACCCCCCCTCCCCGCTGTCTGCCAATAGCCTCAAGACGCTCATTTAGTCATTTGCATATTAAAAGCTTTTGTCGCACAAAAGGTTAAATCAAAAGATAAAGCGCAATAATTTTTTGCGCCTTTTTGCTTTTCCTTTTTGCTTGTTTTTGGCCCGTTGGTCCTTGTGCCCCTGCCCCTGCCTCTGCCCCTCCCACACCCCTTGTAGTTGTTAACATGCGAATCAAGTCAAGGAGTGGGAGAAATCGGAAGATTGGATGGTTCAAGTGGAGTGGGAGTGGGAGTGGAAGTGGGAGTGGCAGTGGAGCAGAGGGGTGTCTGCCATGTGCGTGTCGATAAAATATTTTCCTTTGACGCTATGTAAACACTTTTGTGGCATTTCTTTGGAGTTTTTCTTCTGCGGGCCAAACACACACACAGCACAGTTATGATTGAAAGGGGGAGGGGGTGGGGGGAAAGAGTGGGAAGAAGGAATAGAGCAAGGGAAGCAGTGGGAATCAGGCCACATTTGATGTCGTTTGGCAGTTGATTGAGTATGTGCCGGGGGTTTGAGTTTATCGCCCCATGAATAAGAAATGCATGCGCGGTATAAAAATACTGTATACCATAAAAATACCATGCACGAAAGGCTAACTAATGTTTGCTAATAAAGAATGCCAATTGGGGCTAGAAATAACTAAAATACTGCAAAAATACCAGAAAAAAAAGTACTACGAGAAATTACAAAAATTAAATATTATCAAAAATACAAGAAATACTGAAAAAATACTGAGAAAAATACCAAATAAAATTCTAAAAATACAAAGAAAATACCAAACTTTACAAGATAAATAAAACGAAATAATAATAAGAATAATACTAATAAAAATCAGAAAAATATCAAAAATACTACATTTTGGTATTCAATCTGATTCAATTTCATCAAAAATATTGGAAAATCAATTTTATATACAATTTAATTATCGTATAAGTATTTTTAAAATTTTGTTACTTTTTTTTGTTAAATATTTCTACAAAAATATTGAAAATACTAGATTCTGCCACACTGCACTAAGTATTCAGTAAAATATACGAGTATAACTAAGCCTTAATTTTTCATTAAAATTTCTACATCTCATACCTCTACGGTTCAGTATTTAATCAGTATATTCAGTAATTTTATTCGATTTAAGGGAACACTTTTCTAAAGTCTTAAACATTGGCAATTCTTTGGTATATTCTGCCATAAAAAAACACTGTTTGCGCGTTGCCTGCAATTGTGTTTACTTTGTTCAGTTTACGAGTCTGTAATCTCTCAAAGAAGTTGGTATTTTATGTACAGTTAAACTCGATTTATTTGGTATTTTTATGGGGCCAATAACCAAACAAGTGCGGTTTTCTCTGTGCAGTACTTCTAATGCTCGTCCACATTTGCCACAATTGTTGTCAGCCACCGATGCTGCCCCCCACACACACACACACACATACAAGCAGAGGTGTAGTATATATATATAGAGACGACGATCTGAGCCGACTTAAAATGCCACAACAATTGCAGGCAGCTGCTGCCTCATGCTTCATGCCTCATGCCGCATGCCTGTTGGTGGTGGTGGTGTTGCGATTGAATGGATGGAAATGCTTAGCTCAGCATAACACAGCGATTGTCATCGCAGAAAACATACAAATATTGTACAAATATGTGTGCTGCGAGAATACATATACGAGTATGTACTGGTTTATATACATCTGCTGTTATGGCCATAAAGTTCAATAGCGAGAGCCCTCCTCCAATCCCAGATCCCCGACAGCCCCTGCATCCATCCCACATCTCATCTGCCCGCAGCTGTGCAAGAATTGACATGATGAGCGATTTTAACACTTGTGCGGTGATACGTTTAAAGAGGGGGCTAGAGGGCTAGAGGGCAGGCACACAGCTCCCCCGTATATTGCAAATATTCAACCTACTTTCCTATGACCTTACCACACAACGACAGGCGATGGGCGACGGGCGACACAGCAACAAAAAGAATAGAGAGAAAAAAACCAACGGCAAACACCGATGTGTAGTTATTATGATGGCTTTTGTCCCCCGGACGGCTTATGGCAGCCCGCGCGTGGAAATTGGAGTAAAGGCAAGTGGAGGCGGCACACCATATAAGCCATATACTGGGAGGATTTAAGGGCCAGAAGCAATTTCGAGATGAAACGAAGGTTACTCTTTAAATAAATAAATTATGAGTGGGGCGAGGCGAGGCGAGGTGAGGCGAGGGGCTTTTTAATGGAAAGATCTGAGTATCTCTCAAGTGCCAGAGATATTTTTTTATTAGGAATTTTTAAATTATAAAATTAGCGTCATAAATAAAATTAAAAGAAAATAAATATATATATAAAATAAATAAATATAAAATAAATAAAGATAAAATAAATGAGTAAATTAATGATATAAATAAATAAAAATAAATAAGTACTTTAA